TCATCTCTCTCTCCATTCCTGCCTTTCACAACACCACAGAGTATCAATCTTTCCAATAACCCCTTCTCCTATAGCAGTCATCCTCCAAAATAATCTCTCCTTCACACTTCTCCTAAAATACCTACTGAAAGCATCCAGCCCAAAGGTTTGTTTTTATCTGGAAAATTTTATTTTGCTCTACACATCCCAGCTAGAGAAGACGTACTTCCCTAACTTTGCTGTTAGAGGGATCTTTGAGTAAAGGAGAGGTAGAGGACTCTTGATCTCTAAGAGAGATTATAATTTGATGGAGTATATTTTTTTTCCCCTTGGGAAAAACAAATAGACAAGAGTTCATTCACAGTAACATTATATCACACATCATTCTAGGACAATAAGCAACTGATTGGCTGCTTGAGGCATTACTAAAATGTCTGAGTGTGTGTTTTTGTGAAAATGTTGCGAAACAGAAAACTACTCTTTGCCTTATCTCCCGGTAGGAGATAAGTACTATCTGTATCAGGTGTCTAGCCAAGATTTAGGGCTTATGGACAGTGTGAGATGGTGAACTTTGACCTGTAGTTTTTCAGGATTTTTTAAGTAACACAGTTTAATAATTTGACAACCATTGAGCTAAAAAGCATTATTTGCAAAGTGTAAAAGCAAGTGGCTTTACAAAGGAAATGCTTGGATTAATTATATGGCCTGGTTGCAGCACATATCATAAATGATGCATGTTGAAACTTGAGTTTCCTGAAGTAGAAAATCTTTTGTTTGTCAGGCAACCACGCCATGGCCAGAGTCTGTTCCACTGCCCCAGACAGGTGCAGGATGGCCAAGGGGCACCGGGCCAGGCCCAGTCCCAGGCCTCAGGCAGAACACCATGGGCAGGAAAGGGGAATCTGGCACAAGGAGTGTCAGGATTAATCAGACTTGCAGGCCCTCAGGACCCAGGAAAATTCAGTGCTGAATCTGAAGCATATTCTGACTCCGAGAAGAAAGACTTCATGTCTCCTTCCAGAAACTTCTTTCCTGCAGGAAAAAAACCCATGCCTTTTTAGCTGCCTTTGTGGGATAACTGTCATCTGAGCTATGTATCCCAGGGAAGATGCTAGAGGACCTGACCAAAAGTGCCTGGCTTAATGCAGCATCTGATGTATCCACTGGCAGGTTAGGGTGAAGATAGGTATTGCCTTCCCCCGCCATTTCAAACTGTGCTGAAGGTGGACGGAAGGTGTACCCCTTGCTCCAAGGAGCAATTTAATGTGTTTTGGCAAGTTTTTTCAGACCTTTAGGAGCAAAATTAGGATTAAATAAAATATATCCTTAACTATGTGCAGTTCTAGATCACTCATCTCAAAAGGGTATACTAAAAACCAGTAAAAGCTAACATAAGGACAACAAATATTTTAAGTATGGAATAGTCTCCCATAGGAGCAGAGATTGAACAGATGAACAGTTGTGCTAAGCACCTCATTTAGGAGATACTTTTGGGAAGCATACCCAGATGTACTCATATATATACAGCTGGATACCAAGCGGATGGGATAGGGATGAACCCCTTAGGATCCCTTGAATTGAAATGTAGGAGCCAAGGATGCTCAAATTAAGTCAGAAGTAAGCAGTTTTAAGTTTTTAAGTGCAGGAACATTCTGGAAGACAGAATCAATTTTTAAAATAAGTTATTTCTAAAGGTCATTAAAAACCTTACTGTTCTAAGCAGGAAGAAGCACTTTTATATAAGCTAAAAATAAATTTAAACTGCTGCAATATAAAAGACTTGACTTCTGCTAAGCAGAATAAAGTAGCTTCAGATGGTGTGAACATCTGACTTCATTGATTTTGCCTTCCTTGCAAAGACATTCCCAGACGATGTCTACATGAGAAAGCTTTTTAGTGTGACAGAAACAGATGAATATATTGGAGCATTGAAACATACTCAACAGAACATACCCATGTAGGATTTGAGATTCTCCAAATGACCAACCTCTCCTTTGGATCCCCATTTCTCTATGTGGACACGAATATGCTTGGCCTGCATCTGGAGCTTACCTTCTGGTTTTATTTCCTCCAGAAGGAATCTAGATCTGAACCAATGTACTGCAAGACATGATCTCAGACTGAAAGGAAAGTGTTAATAGTTTCTCAGCTTGCTCCCTTGAGTACCTATTACAGGCAGAAGTTCTGCAAGAGAAAAGAAAGGTTTGTCCTCATCAGCAGGGTGTAGGAGGTCAAGCAACCAGCTGACAGGAACTGGCACTAAGAGAGGAGTTAGTGGAGTTTTAATGAGTGACCAATAATCACACACGTACCTGGCTTCGGAACAGCCTTCATGATAGGAATGTAATTTTAAGCCATCTCCTTCTGAAAGATCTGAAAATTTCTAGATTCTCATTGAGGATTATACTAGTTGTCAAATTTGTAGGGAATTAAAAGTAACAGGATTTCACAGATTAAGAACATTTGCATTTCTCCCATTCAAATTGCCAATTATCTATCATCTGTGCTGAAAAAAATCAACTGAACTTAAAACCCCTTTTGTTAAGAATAGAAGAATCAGGAACTCCTCTTCATTGGTACTAGCAAATTGCTCTAAGATTTATCGGAATAGGATGGTAGCAATAGAAGTGCTTAGTAAAATGAGAGCTTAATCTTTTCCTTAAATCCAGATCAGTGCATAATGATGATCTTTTCTAAATGCAGGGGTGCAGATGTTTTACTTATACAGATTGTACTTAGGAAGCTGAGTATTGCACTCATACAAAACTCTCAGAATTCGGCTATTCATGTAAACATGAACCCTCCAAATAGCTGCTAGGATTAAGAGAATGAATTCATCCTAGTAAAAAGGATGTTTATCATATAAACACTCTAACAGCTAACCTGACTTCCCTGGTAGAACATTTCTACTCTAGGAATTTAACCTATGGGCACACATAATTAGCTCTTTCACCTTCAAGTTGCTGAAAGAATGATTTGCTTAAGAAGATTAGGTTTTTTTAATGCTCAATAGAAGTACTGACAAATTATCCTAGAATGATTATAGGGGAACTCTTTCAACACCATCTTCTGATCTTTTATTTTGAAATAGCATGCCTTTCAGTCAAAAACCTTTTAATCTGACCATTTGTGTTTTTCCAAATCAGTGTTCAATTTTTTAATACCTTCTGTATTCAAGTCGTGTATGATGAGACAGTTCTCAAGGCTCTTTTCATCCACATGGATGATGACCACAATAGTTTCCTTAAAGAGAATTTTAGTGCTAGTTTATTTCTTCTGGTCATTGTAACTGCATGCAGCTTCCTGTCTGCACTGGAGCACTTTACCATGCCTGTGCTGACACGACAACCCTTTTGAACTGTGCTGTACCAAAATTACTTAAGTTAAAAATAATTTTCCAAAATGGGAGGATTTTTAAGGGCAGGTGGAAGACAGAAGAGGTGATACTGAAAAGCAAAGACAGACGAAAGTTGACTCAGTTGGGTCATGGCAGGGAAATGAATTGTTCCATCATTTTGCCTGTATGCCATAAACTTGAGATTTGGAGTAAGCACCGTAATAGAGTAAACATTGTAAAACACCTGCAGTGGCTCTGTAGCTATTGAGTGCATGAGTCTATTTCCTCATATAAAAGCTGAGGATCTAATTTTGAATTCCGGACACAGACTTACAGAGAAATCCTCTTTTTTAAGCTGTAGAATTCTCTGGATCTTTCATTGCTGCACAGTTTTATACATGCATTGAAATTATGTGAGCTTTATTTCTATTTTTCCTATTCCTATAATTCTCAAGCTTGGGAAATTTAACATACTCAACTGTTGGCATCATTTGAAAAATTATGCCATAATTGTATCAACTGATGCAATACACAGAAATCAATTTATATTATTAATTCTTGCTTAGTAAAAATGGATAGACTTTCCTACTTTAAGCTATGCTGCCATCTACAGGCAATCCAGGTTGGAAGAGGTCTCTGGGCCCTAGCTCAACTGCCTCCAAAAAACAATGATAATAAAAAGAGGAAAAGTATATGTTCAATGCAATTGCTCACATGATGTTCTGTGGTGTGGGATATCCCTTTGGTCAGTTGAGATCACCTTCCCCAGCTATGCTCTCTCCCAGTTTCCTTTGTGTACCTCCTCACGGGCAGAGCATGAGACAAGAAAAAAGTACTTGACTCAGGATAATCAACTTGGCAAAAAACCCAAAATATCAGTGTTACCAACACCATTCTCATTCTCAGTTCAAACCACAGCACTGTAACAGCTACTGAGAAGAAATGAACTCTACCCTAGCTGAAACCAGGACAGCTGCTCAGAGCTTTATCCCATTTGGTCTCACAAACCTACTCAGATGGAGGCTGTACACCTCTGGGCAACCTGTTCCATTGCCTGACTGTCCTCACAGGTAAAAAGTCCTTCCTTTTAACCATTCTAAATCTGTCATTTCAACTTAGGCTCGTTGTCTCTTGTTCTGCATGAAGATCCTGGCTCCACCTTCTTGCTAACCTCCTCATAGGTACAGGTAAGCTGCTCTTGATTCCCCCTCAAACTATGTCTTCTCCAAGTTGATGAAGCTCAGTTCCTTCAGCATCTCCTCAAATGACAAGGGCTCCAGTGCCCGAATAGCTCAGAGGCTCTTTGCTGAACTCAGTCCAGTTCTTGTATGTTTTTCTTGTGCTAGGGACCAAAACTCAGTGTAAAAGTGGCCAAACAAGTGCTGAAAATTGGGATGCAATACCTTCCCATAATCTATCGGTTGTGTCCCTGCTAACCTATTCCAGAAGGCTGTTGGTCATTCTTGCTGCCAAGGAATAGAGCTGAACAGGGCCCATGTTCAGCTGCCCACCAGGTCCCTACAGAGCTGGGCTGCTGCACTGGTGCTTCCTTCCCATAGGGTAGCACTTCCCATTTATCCTTGTTGAGTGTCATACAGTTCTCATTGGTGTCTTCCTTCAGCATATCTAGGCTGCCCCAAACAGCAGCCTGACCATCCAGAATCTCCATTTGTTCCCTTCATTTGGTGGCATCTGCAGATTCAATGAAGGTGAATTCTATCCACTCCTTCAGCCACTGACAAAGACACAAAACAGGATGGGGCCCAGAAGACACTCACTCCAGGGAGGGTGTGACCCCTTAATCACTACTCTCTGAGCCTCATCATCACATCACATTTTAACTCATCTGGTTGTCCATCCATGCAAACCACAATGTCCTAACCTAGTTTCACAAATATTGTGGTACAGTGGCAAATGGGCAAGGTAAATGATGCATTTTTTGTTCTCCCCTTTTTTCAAAAATCCACTCATTTTATCACAGTTAGCTGCCTTTTTTTTTTACTTAATCAAAAAGAAAATATAAAAGGTTTTTTTTTCCAAAGTTGGTTAGTATTTTTTGTGCTACCATAAGGCTTGACATTAACAGAAAGAGTCTGCATCTTGTAAACAATGTTATATAGTTTTGGTTTTATTATAAATTTTTTAGTGATATCAAGTACTTGCCTGATCTTGAAGAGATTACTGAAATAGGCACTCCCAGCTATGCACTACTGAATCCTGAAATTGTCAGCATTAACTTAATTTGGGACATTCATCAAATGTCTGATAAAGCAACCAACAACTTGTCACTGTTGACTCGGGACTTTTACCTTTTAACACTAAGTACCTGAACACGATGAAACATAAGATATTTAGGAAACTTCAGTACAACAACTTTTCAGTTAGAAATCTAACTGTAAATCTATAACATTATTGCTTGAATAGCATTTAGTATAAAACACTTTTAAAAAATACTATGAATTACAAGATTAATTTGTTTGGTGCAAATACTTTTTCAGGACTTAACTTTGCAATCCAGATGTCTATGCAAACAGGAAATTCATGCTGGCTGCCCAAGATTTCTTTAAGTTCTGTTTGACCTGCCTGGTGTAAGTTTTACTCCCATGCATTCAATGCATTTAGTTTGGAATGATTTTGAAATATTCCAAACATTTTGGTAATGTTTTTCCTTATATGTATCAATCTCAACGTACAATATTTCCTATTCATTACTTGAACCCGTTATTCTCCCTAATGTTATTGGTACTACATGTAAAGTACCAACATTGTACAATATTCTTGCAATCTTTCATTAAGTGGAATCTTAAAAATCACATTTCATTATTTCTCTCAGACAGACTGTTGCATAACATGAAGGATCAAGGTCAAACGATATATGAAGAGAGACTTTTAAATCATTCAGATGGTTGTCCTCAATTTTGATCTCTTTTTCACTACTTTCCAAAAAATATGAGAGATTCTGAACATTTTTCAAAATGAGTCTGTAGCATCCAGGTATATTCAGCTGTAACGGAGACACTCTGAATTTGCACAACTCCAGCTCATCCTTAGAAAGTCTTTCATGGTACCATTGTCCAACTTTATTACTGGGATACTTGATACTATGTCCTACCATTGGAAGAACCACCTTCAAAGAAAAAAACAAATATATTTGAGGTAATGCTCACTCATTTCCCTTTAAATACATGTGATCATTTAAAATGTGTTTAAACCTTGTGTTTTGGGGCCTGAAACAGTAAGCCATCAGATTCTCTTGTGAAATGAAACTGTGCATGGCAGGTACATTGAGTGCAGAAAAAATAATCAATGCATCATTCCTAAAACAAAGAGGTATACAGCAGTAAAGACATCCAGTTGCCATATATTCAGTTGCCATGCAAGACTTCGTAACTACAGTCTGAAACCTTCAAAAAATTAGAATGCCAACTGCTTTTGAAAGTTTTTCCCAGTTATCTTTCCTGAAATCTTTCCTAAAGTGTCAGCTTCAGGATAAATTTTTCCATACTGCAAATGACACTGTACTTATTTCCATTGCCAAGTAAGTTTGTTATGCGAGTGGAAATAAGTTCACATGTGTTTTCTTCAATGAGCACTCTGGGAGGGACAAAGACTGCACCAGTTAAATTAATCACATTATTTAAAACAAAACATTTTAATCTAATAGAAAGATCAACAACCCAGAATTTTTCACACAGACTTACTTGGTATATAGAGTATTTGTTAGCTGATTCTTCTGAAGCAGTGACTACATGAACCTGACAAGACATTTAAGAAGAAAAACACATCAACCTTTTAAAAAGTAAAAACATAAGCTTTATTTTAGGAATTATGCACTGTACTCACAAACTTGCAAAGAATATTAAGGTTATTTGACTACTGCAGGGGCAATAAACTCAGGTATGAAAAAATCTTAAGATATGCTTAATTTAAATTAACCAGTTCACTGGTAGATGGCATTAAACATTTACTGATGCTAGCAACCACTATTATTCTTTGAGTCTGAAGTCACCAAAGTCAATGCCATCTTGTGCTACATCAGCAAATGTAAAAATACAAAGAAAAATGTTTCATATTAAGAAGGACTATATCTACATAAAATTCAGTAACTCAACACTGAATTTAATACATTTGCTTTTAGTTTTATTTGATCTAATTGTTTCATTAACATTCACTCTCGAAAATGATGGTAAAGAAAAAATCACATTTGAAACACAAGCCACTCCATAGGGACTGAAGGTAACCTTTCAAATGCTCTTGCCTTCAAATTTCTAAGATGTTCACCCAAAATAAATTAATTGCATTCTGCCTCTGCACACACCTGTTTGTTCTCTAGTAAAACACTGTACAGTTTATGACTGATCTGATCAGAAGAAAGACAGAATCACAGATTCATCTAGGTTGGAAAAGGCTGAGTCCAGCTGCAAACTTAACATTGCCAAGTCCACCACTAAACCCTCATTACGTATCTCTCTCAACCACTTCTCTGTGCAGCCTGTTCCAGAGCTTGATAACCATTCTGGTGAAGAATATTTTCTAATATACAATCTAAATTTTTCTAGCACAACTTGAGGCTATTTCCTTTTGTCCTACCACTTCCTACTTGGTAACTGTCTTCACAATAAGGTATGCCTAAAAGAAGAGAGCACTTCAGAATGGACTTCAGCATGTCAAAAGCTGGGACCAGACACCCCACTGCCAGATTCTACTCACAGGCTCATCTATGGCTCCATGCACAGCTCCCAGGCTGAGCTATGGGCAAACAGAAGCACTCTCTTGCCCTTTACTACTTTACCAAGAAGACTGCTGCAATTTTTGAACAGTTGCTACCAGTTTAGACCCAGTATCAATGAAATTGTGCTAAACATGTTTTGCCTCTGTAGCTGCAACGAGATTATCAGTTCAGCCTGAGGCTACCTTTCACCCTGGACTCACACTCAGCATTGTATATAGGAAAGGTCAGATGTGGAAAGCAAGACTCAGATCTACACTGACTGGTAACACGGGCACACTCCGAAATTCTTCCCAGTCAGATCCTAAGAAGAGCATTAGGTACCATGGAGACTGAATTTTCACATGTATAATTTCCGACCTTCTGTTCCTTCCTCTCACTCGAATAAAATGAACAGCCAAAACAGATTAAAGCTGCTAATTATATGTCTAGCTTGTAGGTCTATTTATGGTGAAACAAAAAAAAAATCCTATATCATGTTTTTTAACTTTGTCACAAATATTAAATATTTCAATGAATGAACCAAAATAAAATCATTAGAGTATGTCTACTTATGCATTCAAGTGTATTTAGCTGTTCAGGGTTTACTGTTGCTGTTGTTTACTTTTTACAAGAACTACTTAACAAGAAGACTCACCTTGTCATTCAGGGAAACGCTTCCATCATTTTCTTCCAAGAAGATAAGATCACCCTTGACCACTTTTGAGCCATAAGTCTTCAGCCTGTATGATGCTGCTTCATTCCAGATTTTACTGCAATAAGCATGAACATAGAATATGCGCAAGGAGTGAGGAATGTTGAGCCATCCTTTGGTACAGCCTTCATGATTTACACCATAGCGATTTAAAGCTCGTAGCAACATCTTCTCTCTTACTTTAAATTCTGGCAGCATCACAAGTGTGCCCTTTGCATCTTCTGATATAAACAAAAATAACCATGTCATTAATCCCAGATTATTCAAGTATTACCTGATATTTAAAAAGATAAAATAATCAAATAGGGAAAAAAGGTGTCAGTCTAATGTCTCCATGCTTTGATTATTTCCTTTCCTTCAATGTGTCATGTTAGACAAATTTCATCGTGTATGCTTATCAACACAGACCCATGAATTTTATTCTGTCTCATACAGTATAGATGAAACCAGCTATCATTCAGTTAATTCAGCCTAGTTTGAACAATTTCTTTTTTTTTAGAAACTTACTTTATCACCCAAAGGGTTTTTTTTGAACCAGGTAACTGAAAGTAAAAATCAAGCTATAAAAGAACACTAAATCTCTATTTCTCACCATTTCAGATGTATTTCACAGCAGGTAAAAAACATATTTTTATTTTAAAGGCAAAAATTACATTGGCTTCAGGGAAGTCTGACCCTTAATCAAGATGAAAATGCATTTAATCAGATTTTTACTACATTATATCATTGCTATATATTTAAAATTTTGTGGTTTTTTTTTTCATATTACAAATGATTACCTGACAATGCCTTATGCACAGACTTCTACATCTGCTTTCAGGAAGAGGCCAGCAGCTGCTTTCAGGGTCCATATCAATATTTTTCCATGCATCATAAAGCCGTGTACAAAACAGAATCATTCATCTTATATTTTTTTGAGAAACCAAACATATCTTTGTCTTCTGTAGCTACATATCATAGTTGGTATGCCAATCTACAGTGAGAAGCAGGCTAATAGATGTGGAATATTTGAAAAGAAAAATACATTTGAATTTGAGAGCAACTTCAAATTGGTGAGAAAGTTCAGCTGAATGATAAAACCAATAAGTATGGCAAACAGAACACTCAGCACACTCCTGCCTTTGACATACTTTGTTGATTTTAGTTCAAGAAAGAAATTAGATGTGTTAAGTACTGAGTATGAGTCGGGTGCCACATTCCAGTATACTCCCCTTACTAGGGAGAAGAAGTTCTTGACACAAAAGCAGACAGATGGAAGGAGGTCAGAACTCCCTTCTGATAAATCTTAGTCTCTTCCAGCATTATGATATACAGCGTTTGCTTCTATATTTTCATGCAGCTGAAGTATATTAATTTTCCACTATTTTGCATATTTAGGGCCTCATCCTTGCTTAATTTTTAAATGTGCAACTCTATAAAGTTTCACAGAATGCAGTATAAGTGGCATAAAGCAGTAGGAAAATAAAAAGTATCTTCCTGTGCAGCAACATGTTATTACCCCACAATACCAACTCTGCATAAATATATGGATAATTTAAATGGACATACCAGTTTGAAGAAAGTATCTTTTTGCATTGTTTACAGGATCATCAGTATCTTCGGGTGTGAAAAATAATTTCACAGCTTTCACCTTAAAAGAATAATTTTTTTTCAGTTAAAAAAACAGTTAAAAACAGTTTAAAAAAAGCTCTTAAAAACAGTTACCTGTTTACTAGCTAAACAGGTAATCATGCATCCAATTCTGTCTTAACATATTCTGCAAGCTGTCAAAATTGAATCAATTCTTTATTGTCAAAGTTAAATTCTCGCTTTCACAGAAGATTCCATGAACCACAGAACAATGTCTTGTGTCCCTTCTCAGATTAAAAAGAGGGTTTAGTCATCCAGAAAACATAAAACAATTTTCAAAGCTTTGTGAGAAACCAGTCACTTTCTTGGTCATCCAGTTCAAACTCCTCCATTTGAAATTGTCATCATTCTATCCTGAACAGGAAGGCTCCTTCCTTCCATCCTGCGTGCTTCATGCAAAATTTAGACTAAACGCTTTCCACACTCTCATACAGAGGGACAACTACTTTTATTTTGTCTTTTAATACTTAGCTGTATTAGGTTAGATGATACTGTGGCAAGGAAAACCCTACAGTAATCTCTGCTACTTGTAATATCAGAGGAGCTGCTCAATTTGCTAGCATTTCTACCAATTTGTGACACCTGGCTCCTGTCCTTCTCTGTATTGGACTTTGCAAGCACATACCGGCACATTTTTAATATAAACAGTAGTTCCTACCTATTTTAAATTAAAGTAACTAAGTTAAGACTAAGGATTTAAATTATTACTCCTCAGGGATTGGCACCTGGTACAACTGCTGCTTGATGTCAGATACATCAACAGTAACTTTCATGGGCTGCCCTCAAATCTTGATTCTTGCATTTGAAAGATAAATTTTCCTGATTTTTCTCAGAATCAAAACAAGAATAGAAGAAAAGGATACTCAAGTATCCTTTTGGCCTTGTAATATCTGATTAGTCTTTTATGTGTGCCAAACACTATACTACATACACTGAAAAGTACATTACTCTTATCGTATTCACTATCACTTAATAAGCTCAGAACTAAGAGTTTGGGAAAGCGGTCAAGGAATAATGGAAAGCAGCAATCTCTTCTTTATAGCAGATAAATTACTGCAGTATTAAAAATGCAAAACCTTTCTTAGGAACTTATGTGACATTTTTTTAAGAGGTAAACAGACCCCCCAGCAGACTAAAGAAGCTACAGTTCCGAGGTGATCAGGACCATGAATAAACACTGTATGAAGATTGCTTCTTTTCAGTGTTCAAATCCTGTATGGAATGCAACCACTTTCCTGCCAAGTGGCATGATGACAATCCCAATCACATTCCAATCACAGACAGAACTATCACCCAGAACTATTTAAAGCTTCACTTGCTGTTCAAAAAAAAGTTTTTTGTTTCAGTATTAATATCCTCATGCTTATGTTGGTATCAAAACTGATCTAGCAATTGCTTCCAGCATACAGATTGATTTATCTCATAAATGAAATTGTTCACTGAGAAGTTCACTCCAGTGCTAGCTACTGCAACAGTAATATGACATTCCCTTTACAGTAAGTACTCAATTACTCAAATGGAAATACCATTTTTTCATTCAGTAAAGCCAATCCTATTTGATCTGTCTGAACAATTTGTCCTTGTCCAAATCGCTGAGGTCCATAGTAATTCACAAAACCTTTTGTCTAGAATGAGAAAGAATAAATATGTTTACATGCATGAAAGTACTGGGTATGATTAATAAGACCAGGCATACAACACACATACATCTACATTTACATCCAAAATGCATAAAACCAGAATCAGAAGTTACAGGAAACAAATGCAAAACTCATACTTCATTACAATATTTTGGCACTAAAAAGACACCGTATCAAGTTCTACCATTGTCTTCACATCATTAAAAAGATCCCAGGTAAATGAAACAAAATTATTTCTATATAGTTAATTCTTATAATTACAACTATAGGTCAAGTCAAAGTAATTAAGCTTTTTAAATGTATCAGATTATGGAAAGTCTACTCAAGCAAATGCAGCGCAGCCAGTGAACAGTAACCACTGGACATTTTTCCTTAAAAACACTAATCTTTTTCACATGAGATAATTTCTGTTATTATTGCAATATAAAGGTCAAAAGTGAACACTTCTGCTAATTCGGATTTTAAATCTCCTGATGAGTTCTAGGTCACATGTGAGAAGTAAAATCACACTTATGTGACCCAAAGAGAACATCCTTTTCTAGAAAATAGTAAGTATACATGGAGTAGACAAACAAAAAATATATATTTGTTTTTCAAATGGTTATTAGGTTCAAATTTTATGATCTTGCTTTGGACACCTATAGGACCTATACACAATTTTGCTTTCACAGAAGATGAAAAATGCATCTTTTGGATTAATACATATCCTGCTTTGTCATTCATCTCCTGACCAGTAAAGCAAATCTAATAAAGCAAGACACACAATCATAGGAATTTGTGTTCATTTTCCAAATATCAAAATAAAAACAAGTCAGATGGAGTGAAGAAAGCATTATAGTGCCAGCTGAATGCTTCTCTCAATAATAAAATTAATTTCCAAAATATATGCACTATATTTTGCATTTGTACACTGGGTAGTTTTCATTCCAGACTATTCCTGGATTAATCTTCTTAAAGCAATTTATATTATAGTTATTGCTTCGAAAGATAGGACAAGAAAATCAATACTATATAAAACATCTACGGTCTTTCCCTTCAATTATTTGATTTTATTTTTCTTAGTGGTTTAAGAATGTCTGATGATGGGAGATTCCTTTAGGGACTAAGGAAAACAGAATTAACATCCACTGCATTTCAGGGGAATCTTCTTTCTCAGAGATGGACATTCCACCTATGTTCATACCATTAAAGGTTTTCATCCAAGCCAACCATGCATGTTCCTCACATGGCCAAAAAAAGCAACCAGCTGTCATGTGCACTGAGCATGTGTGTGTATATACAGGTATCACATACACATTGTATGGATGTGTAAGGACATTGCTTCTCCCTGCATCTGCTACAGTGAGACCCAGCACTTTGGCTGGCCTCAGCTCTGTACAGCAATGGCTCTTATATCCATACTCATTTGTTACTGAATTCCCTACATCTTTTGCTGCACCACCCTGGGGTCTCCAGTCTGTAACACAGAATCGATTTACTTGCAATCTCTTCTGGGAAGGAAATTTTACCCAAGATTCCCTAAGTAATGCAGGAAAAACATAAAAGCAAAAAGCACCAAACTTGGGAAATATTGCCATTATTTTGCTATTACAAGCATTTTCCTTAAAAGTACTTTATTTATAGAAGCAAAGAATTAAAACTGTTCATTATCAGCAACCATGAGCCTTTCTTACCTCAACACTTTCCATTGCTTCAGATATTCTCTCCTTCAAATCTGCAGAAGAGTCATGACTGTGGAGTTGGAGATCTCTCACAATTATGTCAAAGTGATTGCCCTTCAGCTGACCAAGTCTGAGGTGCTGGTATGCTGGACGGATGTTGTATATTTTCATACCCTTTTTTTCCATTTTGTTTCCAATTTCTTTCAACCTGAATAAATAATTAGGAAAAATTATGAACTATCCTCTACTAAATCTATATAACTTGTAATGAATGTCTTTTTCACCTTTGCACTGATATAAAAAACACTTTAAGAAATAAGACAGTTTGTAAAAAATTACTATAATAAAATCAAATAAAATGCAGAGATAGAAGTCTTGAAATTTAGTTATAATCCAGAAATACTTTTAAAATGTTTGCATCATTGGCATTTTTATTATATTGACAGATTCTGAAATGAAGCAATTCATTGAACTTTCTCAGAGTAACTGCAATTAATTTTAATTTTTTTTAATTGAAAAACTAGTAGTTTTTTTACTCTTCACTCCTCAAAACCTGTTTTTCATTAAAGAGAAAGGAAAAGAAAAGGTAATGTGCTCTAGCAGACTCCAAAACACAATAGCTCTTTCTTGGTCAGCCTTAACCAAAACAAATTTGGTGCACTGATTCTCTGGGTATGCTCGCACATGCTTATAATTGGAAACACAGCTGACAGTTCAAATACTTACCCCTTAAAATACCCACTCAACCTCTTTGTTCTCATGTGTAAGTAAGAGTCATTCAAATTAAAGGCAAATTTTAGCGTAAGAGCTTGAATTCTAAGTAATATTTTAATAACTTCATAAACTGTTTATTTATAAAAAAATTATTTCTCCTGCTGTGTGGATGCATTTACCTATTTTTCTCCATCATTTAAACACTAACACAAAGTTTTGCTAATTAGCTCTTGGACAGTTGGTCTTACAGTCCAGTTTGTAGTGAAGTTTTACCATTGACATGAGTGCTAAGTTGCATATTTCCTAAAGCCACAAAAGATTAAATCCATTTCCACTGTGCTCTATAAAGGCAAGGGGAAGATAGATCAGTAAGAACATTTCAAGAGATCTGTATCGTGTTGATACTTATTAACACCAAAAACTAGGTGCTAAAGTGCTTGTATCCAGATTCTAAGTACCTCTCAGGAGTCACCTTCTTCACAACCATAGGCTGCATAGTTATAGCCTTCTTATCTTTGATGCCAGTGTAACTGAAGTCCGAAGGAAGAACACCAAGTTCAGTTGCCAACAAGCCGATTGCTTCTAGTGTCTCTAGGTTTTCTTTCTGAAGGGTGAAAGCTGAAACAATCATCTCAGAATCATTAGGAACTTATCTTTACCTTTCAGTGTTTTGGCATGACAGATGGGCAGGTTCTTCCCCTCAAACTGTAAGAGCATGGAAACTGCAAAGAAACTGTCCTCCTGCCCTACAAAACTAAAGCAAATGGACTTTTACAGCACAGAAGGAAAAAATAAAAACAATACACAAAACTCAGATCACCTAAAAAACCCTGATGCCTTTAAAAATAGTACCTCATAAAATGCAACAGACATGCATGGGTATATTGCAGGAAACATCGTATCAGAAACTGCTTTAGAGAATGAGATCATAAGTAAAATTTGACCTTACTAACTTGTTCAGTATCTAGATGCACCTAATATCCCACAATTAATTTCAAGGGAAAGCTATCACCCTGGGAATTCTAACTAAGATTTAGTGGCTACAATCAAAAGAACTGTAACCATTATCAGTGAGCAGTTTATGTCAAATTGCTGCAGTAACTTGGTTCCTCCATTTCATTCTCCAGGGAAGTAACACCACTGCATTGATAATGATTTATTTCAACATAAACAAGGGGTCGACCAGGCCTATGTATCATATAAAAATGATCCTGAGTTTCAGTCTTTCTACAAAACACCTTATACATGCCACCTTCACTAAAAATGTAGTATTTACCTGTATAAACATCTTGCTTCTCCTGAAAACCACCAGCAGACCTTTTTCTGGACCAACATTTTTCTCGAAACCGTACCATTATTGACATATTTGGGTGATCATTGAGATCTTTCACAGTAAAAGATTTTGTTTCTAAAAGCTTTCCAAACTTTCTATTGATAAAGTGGTGAACTCTTTTTCTGTGCTCTTTGTTTCCATCGGGCTGAAAGGAAAATGTAGAATTTTCTAGCTTTGCATCTAAAAATTTAAAGAAATCACTTGTTTCCTTTTCAGTCACTAATTGGCAAAGTTCCCTGTAATCAGGATTTCCTTTTACAATCATTTCATTGTCTTTTGTAACAGTGACTAGAAATGGGAATTTCTGCCTAACAGCACTGTGCAAATCAGCTCGAATTTTCCTGTCCAGCCTAGGTCCTAGCGAGAACTCCCAAGTGCCAGCATCGGCGCTGTTCTCCAAGCCCCACGCATCCTTCAGATCACAGGCAAATTTGTGGAGCAGTTCGCTCACGGGCTTGCCAAGTAACGACTCCAACACAGGGGGTTCCCCGAGGCCGGACTGCAGCTCGGGATCTCCCTCACGTTCACTTTTTCCAGGGGATGCAGCACAGCCGCCTCTCGCTCGGCTTGGGCCGCGCCCCGGGGGCCCGGGCGCAGCATCCCGGGGACACCCGGGGTCGCCCGGCCCGGGGGGCTCCGTCCTCCGCTTCTTGGGCTCCCGCGGGCACGGGCTGCTCTGTGCCGGCGGCGCTTCGCTGGTCTTCTGGAGCAATTCAGCCCGGGTGTCCCCGAGGTCGGGAACCTCGAGCTCTGTCACTACGAAGTCGCTGGGAGAGTTTTTGATAGTGCCGCGGAAGCCGGTGTGCTCGGTCAGGTAACTGAAGGATGGCAGCATGGCCGCGGCCTGCCCTGCTCCCGGCCAGGCCCGCCGCGCCTGCAGCGGGCGGGGAGGAAAAAGGAGGGGGCGGAATAGAATCAACTGCTCCAAAAAAGGGCGGGGAGGGAGGCTGGCAGGCAGGTAGGCAGGGATGGATGGGTGGGTGGAAGGATAGATGGATGCAGGCAGGGAGCGAGGCAGAGAGCGAGGCAGGAACAGACACGGAGAAGCCGGAGCCCGCGCCCGCGCCCCCGGAAGCCACCACCAGGGGGCGCCACGGCCTCCTCCGCTCCATCAAAGGCGCCCAAGGACGTTACCAAGCCCCCCAGGGCCAGGGGGAAACACAAAGAGGAAACGAGCTCCCCTCCTCGCGGCCGGACATGGGGTGTGCCGGGGGCGGAGCCTCTTTCGGCCGCCTATGGGAGGGCCAGGTGGGAGAGCGCTTGCGCTGTGTCCTCACCGCGCGGGTGACGTCAGTGGCATCGGGGGCTGGGCTCCGCCCCCTTAAAGGGAAAGCTTTGAGGGTGGAGGGGAAGCGGCTCACAGGTAACGCCCGAGGGGCAGTGGGGCGCGCTGCCCGGGGGGGATCGCGGCTCGGAGGCGGCGGCGAGGCGTGAGGGAACTCTGGGTGGTGCCCGCTGCCAGCTGCAGCCGGGAATGGTGGGCAAGGGGTGCCCCCGCCGGGCCGGAGGCGGCTGTCGGCACCGTGAAGGCGGGGGCGGCTGTAGCGCGTCGCTGGGCGGCCGCTTCCCGGCGAACCGCACGGGTAACCCTGTGTCCCAGCAGGCGCGGAGGATGGGCGAACGCGTGACAGATTCCACGTACGTCCGCTGCCTGAGCTACGGGCTCGTGAGGCGGCTGGCAGAGTTCATCGACCCGCAGGAAGGGTGGAAGAAACTTGCGGTGGATATAACCAACCCATCCGGTGAAAGCAGATACAGCCAAGTGCATATAAGGTCCTACATAAAAGTCCCGTAATGTGAACTCGTGTATTACCCAATTGATATAAAAACTTTGTTAATCCCGTTTTCCATCCCGTTACTGTAACTTGCTGCACTTTGTGCGCCGGTCGGCACTTGCGTCTTACAGTTCCGTTTCCTTAGGGAATGTAAGGTAATTACTTGTAATTGCTCTGCAGCTCAGTTTTTAAGCAAGCCTCAGAAAATTGACTAAAGAAATTAGGATTAATTAGAGCTACAGACATAAGCATTTTTAGCAATACAGCATGGGCTGCATAACTTTCTGTTCTCTAAAGGCTAGTAGACATTGATGTTACTGTGCCCAAGGGACAGCTGGACTGTAACTCCTAATTCACTGTTTTCAAGGAAATGTCCAACAAATGTGGGGAGCCCGAGGCCTAAAACTAACAAGTCTACTTGAGAAGTAATACTCAATATTTTATGAGCACCTCTTTTCTTTAAGAGCTTGTTGAATCCTTGTTGAAGCATTTTTAAAGACTAAGATTTTTAGATGCTGTATATATCATCGTGGGTTTCCAGTCTTTTCTGGTAATGGTAGTATTAAATCTTTGTTTTCCTTTCAGTAGTAGTATTAAATCAGTCAGAATACTAGATCTCATTTTCTTCTTAATGCCCATCTCAAAATATTCAAAATGGAGTGTGAATGCTGAATGGATGCAAAACATTTGCAAATTATTTCTGCCATTTGATCTGGGTCTGGCTTACTCTCTGTCTCTACTGACATTCTCTGTTAGCCTAAGGTGCCAATATATTATGGATCCTAGACAAACAGCTGAAGCCATGTATATATGTATTTCCCATAGTTTTTCCTATATTTTGCATGTTTCCCCCCCGATTTTAAATGTGTTTAGCTTTTTTTTTGTTGTGTTTTCAGAAGATTTGTGATTTTTGCAGTGTCTTCAGATTTTTTTCAATGTGGATTTTTTTTTGTCGTTTGCCTTTAGTCTCTTTCCCTTCATGCTTCTTGAGGTAATATTTTCTTTTCTTTTAATATTGGTCTAATTTACTTTTTAAGGAGATTTGAGGCATTTGTGCAAATGGGAAAGAGCCCCACCTGTGAATTGCTTTATGACTGGGGAACCACAAACTGTACAGTTGCTGATCTTGTGGATCTGCTGATTAGGAATCAGTTCCTAGCACCAGCAAGCCTTTTGCTTCCAGGTAGCTATTACTCTTTTACATTTTGTACTGTGTTCTCAGTTTTCCAAGATGCTAGAGAGCTTCACACACACGTGAAAATCAGAAAGTATTAGGTTAAAATAACCCAAAGCGAATATATTTTCCACTTTCTATCACTCGTAATAACAATTTAAATAAGAGTTTCAATGAAAGTGCTGAAGTTTACACATGGTGGCAAAATATAACCGGGTGATACTTATGTGTCTCCTAATTCTCAAAAATACTAGCATTAATATTACTTATTCTCTGGTTCCTAATGTAGTTAACACTTTTTCTAAATTCCCTTTTCAGAAGCTGTAAGGATGCCACAAGAAGTTACATTACCTCTTTCTTCACAGGAAACCTTGCCTATACATGAGAAACAACTACCTGTACAGGAAAAAGAAGTGGCATCTGTAAAGCCTGTTTTAGCTCAGAGTCCTGAGAAGCAGCATTCAGATTCTTACTATGCAAGTGAAGAAAACAGCCGCTCACAGTCCAGTAACACAGGTAGATATTTATTTTGGTAGAATTCAGTACTATTTTTTTGTTGATCTGTCCTTCACCCCATGTGAAATAAATCATAACTGTGCATGAGAGTGATGACTCTGTTCCTGTCATGGTGGATCTGTGGGAAACAGCATCGTGCATCTTGCCAATAAGTCACCTACTATGAGGGAAAACTTAACTGTTAATTAAATTGCAGTTTCTTTTTTGCCGCACATGATCCTGTTGCCCTTTTCCAATACTTATTTTATAGACTGTTCAGCATCTTATGCTTTAAAACTGGATTTTGTCTGTCAGAAATGACTAAGAATGCTGGAGAAAAGATGACTAAAGAAGGCATTTTAGGAAAGTGTGTGGTTGGTCTGTTCCTTCCTAAAGGTCCACTTTTAGGTTGCTGCCAGAAACATGATGTAACCCTGGTGTATTTTTTGTATATAAGGCAGTGTGGCTCTCTCTGTCATCTGCTACACGTTTAATTTCTACTACCTGTATTACAAGTATGAATCAAAAACACAATCAGATGCATGCTACAGTACTAGTTGTGAAGAAAATTATTCATAAGTAATTATATATGTTAATCTACCATCTTTTTGTTTTTCTCCTATCTTCATCACAGAGCTGGAAGTAGGGCTCCACTGTGTCAGATTTTGTGTAGTAGCAAGTTTTTGTTTTAAGAGAACTGAAACAGAAAACCTTGTTCCTTAAGTGAAAACAGTTTTGTGCTAAATGTCAATGTCTTTCAGATTTCCAGAATTTTTTGTTTCATGACTTGGAAAACATTACAAATAATTTTGATGCCCGACCAGAATCAGCTGGAGGTAATAAACTGGGAGAAGGTGGCTTTGGCATTGTGTTCAAAGGCTACATCAATGGCAAAAACGTGGCTGTCAAGAAGCTCATTGCTGTGAGTTGTCCTGGGAATTTTTCATTTTAATGACTGTATACTTTATAGGATAGACTTTTTTATCTTGTTTATTGTGACAAGTGTTGAATGATACATTTCAAAAAGTGTTGTCACTATTTTACACATTAGTTGTATTAAAAAATTTGTCCTTATTCCCATCAGTGTTGTGAGTCAGCACAGTCACAGGAGCTAATTCTTGCCTTCTCTGTAGCTCTCCTTTAAGGGGCTAAGCAAGTTGTTGGTAAGAGCAGTGTTCCCCCAGTTGTTTTCCCCTCACCCTCAAGAAGTGCCAGAAGAGAAGGGGTCCTAAGGAGGTTTCCATTTCAGATTAGGATGGCTGAGATTCTCAAGCTAAATAGGTATTGCCACAGAATTTTAGTCTTCACAACCATTGTTTTGTGTGAATAATTGAATTTTGTAATTAGGTGCTATTAGGGGGTAACTGCAGTGAATGGAGTAAGTTGTTGACTGCTGAAACTAGGTCAATTTATCCAGTTATACAGTGTTCCAAGGAATTGAAAGTCATGTTCTGATAGTTTATTTTTTAACTGAGATGAAGGTGCATTGTGAAAAGTTAACTAAGAAAGGCTTACAATTCTCTTTTAATTTTTTCAAATGAACAGCTATGCACTTTATTATGAACCAATGATGTTGATGTCAAATACTTCTTTTTGTAGATGGTCGATGTTAGTGTTCAGGACTTGAAACAGCAGTTTGAGCAAGAAATAAACATAATGGCAAAGTGAGTACATTGTTATACAATTTTTGTCTTTCTAACATAACTATTTGCATGTTAACTGAAAATGTTTCTTCTACAGCACAGTCACATTTTGTTTGTTTTAAAGCATCACCACACAAACCTGGCTTTGTGCAGTAGAGGTGAAAAAAGTCACTGGGAATCAAGTTCCCACTGCCTTGTGTTTTCCTCAGATGTTGAGAGTCGTTCAGAACACATGTGAATGGAGATTTTTTTTCTGCTATAGGTGTCAGCATGAAAATTTAGTAGAATTACTTGGTTTCTCAAGTGATGGTGCTCAGCCATGTCTGGTGTATGAATATATGCCCAATGGTTCATTGCTTGACAGACTTGCTTGTCTGGTGAGTGAAATTTTTTTTAGCTTCCTATTGCCAATGTATATGCATCTGTGGAATGCCTTTCAACTGGAACTGAACTGTGATGGCCAAATGATGTTTTACTACTTTCTTCCTGTGTTCTTATAACAACTACTCTTCCAGTAAGATTTTACACAAACATTTTAGATAGATTAAAGTCAAATCAGGCTGACAATACAGTGTCATGTACTGGTACCTGAAGCATCACAGAAGTTTGGACTATGCCGTATGAGGCAGTGCAGAGGGTGCTACAGTCTTGTTGCCAGTTCTGATGTTGGCGTGTTCTCTGCTGGCTCCTGAGATTCTGCAATGTGAAATTGATCTTTGTTCATTGTCCTCACGATAGCGGCTATAATACAATGCTCAAAGTCCGCTTATCTCTTTCTGAAGTACCTAAAAAATGTGAATTTAATTTTTAAAAATTTTGTGTAAATGTTTCTGATTTAATCAAATGGTGTATCTTCTAGCCTTGGCCTTAAGTAAATAATAAGTTGATTTGGTTTGGTGAGGCAACTCTGTGTATCAAGGACAGTAGTACGCAAGACTTAAGGTAGTAGATTCATGTCTGTCTTAATTTGTTGAAGGTGTTCAAAAAATCTGCTTAACACTAAGCAATTGCAGCTTCTGAGGTTGTAATCTGGTGAACATTTTAAATTGGTGCCACTTGCAACCACCCATCTCCCCAGACCTAAAATGTTGGGCTTGCTTTTTTTTTTCACACTGGTTCTCTGGTTGTACTGGTTCAAGCATCTATTAGTTGGAGAAAAATCTTGATTAGGGAACTGATCAGGCTAAGAAAATAATACTTGGTGAAAAAAAATTTAATTTTCACCCGGAGACATTTCTTTTAAGGGCTGCACAAATACTTCTCCAGTGGGAAAGAAGTGGTGCTATGATGAGAATGAGTAGCAGTGCTTGGGGAAAGTTAGTTTCTCTGTTAGCACTGCTGTCTCAGTTTAGATTGATTCATTTGCTTCCGTACACTGCTACATGTGCAGTTATTTTGTTTTTCTAACTGTATCAGTGCAGAAGAGAGACTAAGTCTTACATAAGGACAGTGCAAGTTTATCTGGAGAAGTGAGGAGTGCTTAACAAGGATGTATATGAAAATGTTCATCCATGTAACGGGCCATTATCACCAAGTGAGCTTAAAAGATTGGGGATAATTGAAAGCTAAAGGAGAAATAACTGATTCCTTTACAAGGAAGAGACAAATTTATTACATAAATCAAGGAATCTAAATCAGTATCTATAAATTAGAAAGAATCTTTTTCTAATAAGATCAGACAGGTGAGTAATCTACTTACTTGAGTATATGTTCTTGCTGATAATTTTTTGACTGCACTGGATGTGTTTGATGCACGAACTCTTGCTTGTGTCATCTTCATGTCATGGATGTTGAGCAGGCAAGGGAGGTGGTACAATGGTGAGATTGGTGAGATACTGTAATCCACTTCCCTTGGCCACTGACAAGATTAAGAACTGGTTTTGAAATGTAGGTGTCCTTACTTCTAAGGTCTAGTTAGTATAATGAATAAAGCTAAACTCTCAAGAAATCCAGAAATACTGGAAGATTGACTTCTTGTTGTTAGTAAAAGCCGTGGATTGCTTTGAATTATTTCCTTCAGATTGAAGGCTCTGGTATCAGTGCCAGTATGAAGTGGGAGATGCAGATAGATCTCTGCAGAGCAGCCGGCCTTGGAGGGTCAGAGTCAAACCAAGAACATGTTTTGCAACTGGCAACTTAATCTAAGGCAAAATGCAGGGAAATAATGTAATGTGACAAAGGCGTGTATTTCTGCCCAAGTCAATAAGAAATGTATGCTGATAGTGTTTTTAATAATCTACTTGAAAACAAAAAAACATACCAAGAAGTCACTTTTGGGTTGTGGGGATTTGTATGCTTGTTTTGGATTATGTGAGCATATATATATTTTTCAGATTTTTACTTGCCTTTCTCTCTTCTTAATCAAGGATGAAACTCCACCAATTCCTTGGAATATGAGGTGTAAAATTGTTCAAGGTACAGCAAATGGCATCAACTTTTTGCATGAAAATAATCATATTCACAGAGATATCAAAAGGTAAAAGCAGCAGACTATTGCTGGCTGCATTTTAACTTTGTCATTTTTCTTTTTTTCTTTTTCATATTTACCCTGTTAAAGTAATTGTAGAGAGAACAAACTGCAAAAAACATTACTTCAGTCAAGAGCACAGTCTTCTGCAAGTGATATCTATCTCCACAATCTTGTCTGTGCCACAAGGATGTGACCAATACAGACTTCTAAAGATAATTATGGGGCTAGAACCATAGAATTGCTTAGGGTGGAAAAGACCTTTAAGATCATCAAGTCCAACCGTAAACCCAGCACTGCCATGTCCACGGCTAAACCATGTCCCCCATGTCCCCAGGTGGCCACATCTGCATGTCTTTTAAATACCTCCAGGACTGGTGACTCCACCAGTTTCCTGGGCAGCCTCTTTCACTGCTTCACTCGGTGAAGAAATTTTTCCTAACACCTAATTTAAACCTGCTGTGGCACAAATTGAGGCCATTTCCTCGTGTCCTATTGCTTGCTGCTTGGGAAAGGAGACTGACTCCCATCTGGCTCCAGCCTCCTGTCGGACAATTATAGAGAGCTGTAAGGTCTTCCTTGAGGCTCCTTTTCTGCCAGCTCCTTCAGCTTCTGGATAGCTTTCCAGCTGTGAGATTTTGCATTGTAATTGTAATTTGTGTTATAAATGTAATATGTAAATTGTAATTTGTATCATAACCTGTTACTTTCAAATAATTATTTGAGTGCCATGAGAAGACAAAAAGTTCTGTTCTTTAACAACTGCTGTTGAAGAACAGTTAATTTTTAAATAGGGAATTTTTCAGATAAAATCACACCTTTTTTTTTTTTCCTTTTCCTAGAACACTTCTTCAGAATGTCTCCTTTGATTTACTCCTCATTTTTATGAATACAGTATAATTATTTCAATCAGGTTCATGAAGTTCAGGGTTCTTCAATGATAATGAATGTTCATTGTTTGTTATACCAGAGTTTTTTTCTATAGATTCCAGAACTCGGAATAGGTGAGGGGCTTGTTGTAGAGTTTGGTTGGCTTTTTCTGGTGTTTTTGTTGTTGTTTGTTTCGCTTTCCTGCTACAGTTTACTGTATTAGTTTTTTTAAAAAGCAGCCCAAATCTTTGAAGAAAAGCCCCAAATGCCTTACTCCTTCTGAGGGTTAAGAAGGAGCAACTGACCAATTGGGTGTTGTAGTTGAATGTTTCAGTAGCTTTCTGGCTTCTTGCTACTGCTAAATACAGGCAACTTCAGTTTTGTGACCTTTCAGCTTTTGGGGAGCAAGCTTTTGCTTCAGCTCCCTCATGTATGTGCTTGCTGCTTTGACAGTTTGTTTCTTCTTTTTTCCCTGCTTAAGCCTCTGGAGAAGTATAATGACTGGAAGGGATGCACTTCTTTACCTTACACTGCCTCTACCCTTATAATTGCTGTGAGTTGATCATATTAGAGAATTGGGTTTGGGTTTTTTTTTTTTTGTTTGGATAACATTTTGCACTTTGTGTGAATAGTTAAATAGATTTGATTGGTACTATTAATAGTGCTGCCACTCCGAGATAACACTTAGATGAAGAGACGTCTAAGAAGATTAACTTCAGTCTTCATTTTGCTGTGACATGTAGAGACCATTCATGAACACACAGGCACTAGAACAGCTTCTCTAGGCTAGAGGGGACATTAATGGGTGTTCTCACAGTTCATAGTTTTGTGGATTGGTTATGCCCAGGAAATAGTTCAGTTCTCTTTCAAAGCTTGAAAGTTGCAGTAAAACTTGCATTTCTGCCCTTTGTGGTGTACCCAGCAAAAGACCACTCTTTGGACTTGACTCAAGTTGATAAGAAGCTGAGATTTATGAAGTTGTGATCTTATTCTCCCTTTTTTAAAGAAATTTAGCATTAACCAGGAGACCAGTTGGTGGATGATGCCTTGACAGGTGTTTGGCCTTTTGTGGTCATACATCTAGCATTATTTACAGCAGTTCTAAAATCAAATGATCCATGTAACTTACAGCTATGTTAACTTTGTTCAGGTTTGATAAACAAGAAGAATTTAGAAAACTAACTTTCTAGTAAGTGTTGTGTATTGTATCAGGCTATGTGGCTTTCTTACAGTTCCGTGAAAGGGATCAGAAAATGAGGATTTCATAAATATTATATTTTAAAATGGTTCTAAGTGGTTCAAGCTTAAAACCCAGTAGATTTTTGCTGTAATTCATCCCACTGAGTATTTGATGAAAGTGTTAAGGACTTTGAGATATGATCCTCATTGTTGAGTTGGGTTGCTTTTTTTAAGAAGAAAGTAAAAGCCAGAGGTCAAGAGAAAACACAGCACATACAGTATTCTAGCAGTAATAAGTTTTCTGGTTTCCTTTCAAGCCAAGAATAAGAGTATTCTTATTCATTTGGCATATTAATTTGTCATGGTTGACATAGTATTAGATAATAGGTATAAAACCTGCTCTTATTAGTTCTGAGCAGAGATTTAGACTATAATAAGTAAACTGTGGTCCAGAAGAAGTTGATCAGAGCTAAGTATTCTCTATTGTCCCTCTTAAAGCCAAACTATAAATGTAACATAATTGGTCTCTTATAAGAAAGTTGTGTATTTCTAAGGTTTGGGGGTAGGGGGAGTGTCTAGGGGTATTTTTTTGTGTGTTTTGCCTTTTTAGTCAAAATAGCAGTTTACATTTTGTTACTAAAGAATTATTAGTCTGTCATAAAACCTATTTACTGTACTGTTTGTGAAATTCTTTCTTCTTTTTTGTTTTTTTCCTCTCCCTCCCCTCTCCACCAGTGCAAATATTTTATTAACTGATACATATGTACCCAAAATTTCTGACTTTGGCCTTGCAAGAGCATCTGTAACATTCACAAAGACAATCATGACTGAAAGAATTGTTGGAACAGCAGCATATATGGCACCTGAAGCACTGAGAGGAGAGATAACACCTAAATCGGATATCTTCAGTTTTGGAGTAGTAAGTAGAATGTGGGAAGCAGTATATGACTTCTTTTGTAAGATAAAAGCACACAAAATCAAGAGTATCTGAAATTAAATTATTACTCTGGTCTATAATTTTTCTTTTTCCCAATAGACATTTTCTTAAAATAGTGTTTCAAAACTTTGACTGTGTTAAAATCGTTTGAATGTGTTGATTTGCTATTTGAAAGACCAGAGTAAAATAATATTCCAAGTTCTAGCTAAGTGTAGTTTGAAGTGGTGTGAAACATTGTTTTTTGCTTGCATGGTATTGCACGAAAGTGTAACTCAGGCTGAAAAAGAAAATTTAAGAAAATGGTCCAAAATTACTGTGTTTTACTGTATTCAGCACCAAAACCACAATGTCCATGTTGGATTTGCCTTAGAGCTAAGTACAAAAAAGACATGAGCTTAATATTTGGAAGAAAAATGTAACCATTCTGAATAGATCCAAGATGCTACTCACTATTGACCACTTCCTTCGAAGCATTTAGTTTCATGAGAAGGTAGGCCCAACACTATGTCTGAATAGTTTGGAAATCCTTCAGTCTTGCTATGAAGGAACACCATGTAGGTGAGAGTAACTTGTGTTGAAATTTGTAAGCCACACTGCTAATAACAGTTAATGAAAATAAAGGCAGGAACAAAAATAATGAATTGTATAGGAAATCTTTGGACAAACACAGATCTTGAGAGTATTTGTTGACAGGCTGGAGGTCATGCTCCTTTTTGCAAATCATACATATTCTAAGGGTTATTCTGTGCTTCATTTTCTTTTCTGATTTTTTCTTCCTCCTAGGTCTTACTAGAAATAATAACGGGTCTTCCTCCAGTAGATGAAAACCGGGAGCCACAGTTGCTGGTATGTTCTTTATGCTTGCTTCTTCCCTCCCACTGCTCCAGGATCACTTTATATGAAATCACAATCAATTAACAGGTTCTGAGACAATCAAATTAGTCATCAAAATATGTAGTTGTGAAAAGGAGCTTTTTTGTCAATATTTGTCTTAGACGTGAGGCTGAAACTTTTATCTCTTGGCTGGTGGATTTGTTCAGCCCTCAAGGTCATCATCTTCCAATCTGATAGTGGAATTCTTTGTTTTGGTACTCCTTGTTATAACATCATTGTACTCTATTCATACTCCCAGATACCCTGATAATTCCTCATCCCCTGAAACATTCTGAACTGTTAATGCGTCTTAATTTTTTTATTGTTCTGTATCAATTTTCATCTTCTTCAACTTTACCAGCAATTTGCAAGTACCTTATGCTTTTAACTTTAGTGAAATTTGAAATGTAAGGGCATTTTTGCAGAGGAGAGGTGGGTTGAATTTTCTTTACTATTCAGTTAATAATTCACTCTACTAATTAGGAAACTAATGTCTCAGAACTCACCCTGTTGAATTAAAAACCTTACAAGACTCTTCATAATTTAGCTTTTCACATATCTTAAAACTAAGTTCTGAACTACTTAATCCAAGGTTTTCCTGGAATACTTTTTACATTGACTAATTTATTCATTAAGTATGAAATAGCATTGAGGTCTTGACTGAGTCTGTTCCATACTGTTTAGAACAGTATAAAGCACTTTCTTCCAAATCTTTAGGAATAGCAGTGTGGTATTAATAGTTTTTTTTTTTTTTTTGTCCTTCCAAGCTGTGACTGCTGGGGTAGCAGAATAATTATCATGTGGAGCTTGTAAACACCTTGAAGAACTCAGGTTTTTTAAAGTGGGCTTTTTCAGAGATAGAATCAAATAAGGAACATGACTGGTACAGTTTACCTTTGTAATTTACTTTTGGTACCACAAAGAGAATGATCAGACCATAATGGCATTCTTAGCTTGAAAGGAAAATTTTGAGGTAGTTGAATGTTAGCAATTTCAGACTGACTCATAGTGGAAGGCAGAAGATCTGCCTCTACTCTTGCCTCTTATTTATTCATTTATGCTTCAAGTGTGTTGGAACCGAGGACTTTTGGACTCAAACCAGTGAGATTTAAAATTTGATTTCTGACTAGAAATTTCCAGCTGCAGCCACTGAGACTGAAGCCAGAAGTTTAGTTTACAGACAGACATTGGTTTACAGGCTTTATAAAGTGATTAAAAAATTATACCAACTTAAGCTTGCATAATTGTGGGTTATTAGGATACTTTGTTGATTGTGCCTCTTCTCTTGCCAAAGAAACAATATAAGAAATTGGGACAGTTAAATCTGTATGATACAGCTTAAAGAAGTTAGTTTTATGATGTTGTGGTAATTAAAATTATAGAGAATAAAAATAAGAAATTAATAAAAATTTATAGTTTACACTCTCACATGCTGTTCAGATACTTATGTTATCTGCTTATTGGTTCAAATTTTCTTGTAGTTAAATATAAAAGATGAAATTGAGGATGAAGAAGCAAATATTGAGGATTATGTTGATGAAAAGATGAGTGACTGGGATGTACCTTCAATTCATAAAATGTATTCAATTGCTGAACGGTGTCTGAATGACAAAAAGACGAGAAGGCCAGACATTAAGATGGTATGTAGTCTTTCAGAAAAAAGGCTTATTTTCAATGAGCGTGTGTGTGTGTTCCCTGCCTATGGTTATAGTATCAATCAATTATATTTGTCTGTTCTCTTCCAGATCCAACAACAGCTCCAAGAGATAAAAACTTGATAACGTGTTTCTTCTGATACATCAACGTTTCTGTAATGGAGACACCAGTGCCAGTAGTTAGTATTTAGTGCAACACTATCAGTGGTTCTGCTTTCCAGAACTGTCTGGACACATGTAAGGTGAGCTGTTGGCCTGTCAGCAGCTCTTTCACATAGCCTTAGTCACTGGGCCCTTAACATGAGAAAAATCTTTCTTGTGTTAACAAATTGCAGTTCTGGTATATCATCTTGTCCTGCAGCTTTTAAAATGCATTTGCATATTATAATCTATTTGATTGTTTTTATTTTCAAATATCTAGTACGTCTGCTACAAAGGCATATGACTGTAACTAGGAAGAATGTTTTTTCTGCAAATTGCTTTCTTGATCAGGTGTACTAGACCTTTGTCTACTGAAGACAAAACCATTTAATAGCTATAATGGTAATAAATGTTGTCTATTTGGGAAATGACAATAGTATTATCCATTTAAAACAAGCTTCTACTTAATATTTCAGCTTGAGAAGTTCATATTAGTGTGAATGGTCTGATACTGTTAGTGAATGTGATTATTATCAAAAGGTCTTTTTGGTGTTAGTTTTAGTCAAATAAATACTGCAAGACATTTACTAGGTTGTTTTTTCATTTCAAGGATTCCAGAGCAAAATACTTATCTTGCTGTGCAGATGCATTTGCACTTGCAAATGCTTTCTTATAGTGAACTCTATGATGACAAACCATTTAATTTTTATTCACAGGAAGACTCTTAGCTACTTTGACTATTCTAGGAAGGAAGATTCAGTATCTTTAGTACTTTAGGAAAGGATTCCATATGGATTATAAATACAGATGGTTGGTTTTCTTAAAGGGGTCAGAATAATGATGTGAAGACGAATTCTGCATTTTACTTAGTCAAATAATTAAGGTATGTATAGTAACTCAATACAAAAATACACTTCTAAAAGTATAAATGGAAAGCTTTTTAAAATAGAAACATTGACAGATCAAAGCAGACTAAAAATGGAATGCAAGTGACTAGTAAGATTCCAGATACTTTGGACCAAGTATGAACATATTACCATTGTAAATGAAAGATGTTATTTTCAGATAAACTCATTTTGCACCTCATGAACTTTCTTAATGGCTGAGGGATAGGAACATAGTCTGGCCTACAGTTAAATTTGAAATTCTGTGATTATGTGTGACTTCCTTCAAGAATATGTATCTTCTTGGAGGAAGCATGTGATTTCTAATGTAATGATATCATTAGATTTCTGGCTATTATTCATTTTATTGCCTCTTCAAACTGCTAGCTTAATTTAGAAAAAAGGATCTACCTAATGACTTCTAACTTTTTAGTATAAATTGTAAAAAAGTGTTAAGATAAATAAAAACTCTGCATTATTACTTCTTTCTGCTGTCAAATCTCACTGCATGGAATAAAGCTGTACAGCTCTGAATCTGGAGAAAAAAGCTGCAATAACGCTAAATTAGAATAAAATCTGCTGAAGCCATTCTTCAGTTTTAAGCATCTCCAGTTATTATCTGAAGGTTTCTTATTAGATCACATCTACTTTTTACTATTCCCTGGAGCTGGAATACATTTATAATATTGTCCAGAAGGGTGTTTGCTGTAGCAACTTCTTGGTCAGCTCTGTTCACCTCTGGTATGGTAGAACATTTTTGTTCATACACCGACTGTGATACTCTTCAGTGTGAGGAGAATCTCAGCTGCAAGCATAGGAGTTCCTGCTCTGTCATACTAAATCATTATTACTTGCAGCGCTGCTCTCAGCAGCGAGGTTTTGGCAGTAGTTTTCCCTTCCTCACTGACGTTAGCTATCCTTTCATACAATTTAAAACAAAAGTTTTGAACTCTAGTGAATGAAAATATAAGGGGTTAACTAGGTAAAACTAACTAACTTATGTGGCAACTATTTTTTTTTTAAATATGCAGGGGGTAAAGAGAAGGAACTGCCCTTTCCCACCCCAAATTTTTTTTTGAGGTCTTCATGAAGTCAAGTCGACATCTTTAGAGACTAATGGGGATAAGAGTAGCTGACTAGTTTCTTTTGTTCACTGCAAAAACATTAAATTATCCTAGAATACATACTTCTTTGTGTTATTTACTGTAATAAGACTTTTTAGGACACAGATCAGTAACTTGAGTCATTTAACATATTTGTAATGGGATGATGTGGTTTCATAGAACTGGAGCTGAGAGAAATCCAGTACAATTTCCTGGTGTGTGCAGAAAGCTCCACATCGAGCAGAGACAGGGCTAATCTGGCTGGCCTACATCCTATCAGCAGGGATGGGGCCATGGAGGGCAACAGAGGATCACTATGCTCAGGGAAAGAACCAACCCTTCTGCATGTTAAGGATCTAAGAACTGTAGCATAAAGCAATTTAGTTACCCAGGGAAGGATGGGTGAATAAAAAATTGCAAGAGCGATTTACTGCAATTCCACAATTAGAAAGCAATAGCAAGATGAAAGCAGATGATAATGAGCCAAAGAAAATTGCCTTTTTAGGAGAATGTCATAGGAAGGACAACAGTTCTCCCCTTGGCTACAGCAGGAGTAACAGAATGGCTGTTAGGAGCCAGAGCAGAGGTGTCTGCACACCCCTTGGGCAGGGATAAGCCTGAAGGGGCTGCTGAGGAACAAAAGCAAGAACAGGATCCATATCTGGAGATACTGCATTGGAATACAATGGCTTTGTACAGTCTGCAACTCGGTAATTTTGGAAAGGGTGAACAGTCTTCCTTAAGTTACTAAGACTCTATTATAAATTTTCTTTTGATCAGTTTGTCCAGTTGCCTTCTGAGCCAACATGAGACACAGCAATTCATATTACTGAAATGGGAAATGCCTCATCTTTATATTTGGGTGTTCCAGCTGGGAGTTTATTTAACACCCACTGACCAAAAGGCAAATAAAATTCCTTTTGATATTCATGGGTAGAGGCCTAGCCTATTCCCTCCTCCTACCTTATGCCTGTTCCTCTTACAGCTCTGATTATAGATAGCATTTGGCATTAAAATTATTCCCTGCAGTCCTAGTTCACATCTTCAGATTTTCTTCTTTCGATTATAAAATTGCTGCATCACAAATATTTTCCCATGGGGATGTGTTGGCAGGACAGTTAAGAGAAAAGCCAAACCAGTAAATGTTCTTTTCATCTTGAACTTTCAGGGCAACAGGAAGTCTTCTAGCAAATTATTTTCAGTTTAGACAAAAAAACTGTTAATGGAACAACATAACAAGTAGTTTCATTATAGCAGTTCATGCTGAGCAAGTAAAAAAAGATAGAACTGTTAAATCACCAGTCAACTACTTCAGCATTTTAAAAGGATAGAAGTTTTTGAAGGGGCTTATTACTGAAATCACAAAAACATCAAGAGATTGGATTCTGCTATGGAGCCCTCAGTGCTGCTCCCATAAAGCAGTGGGAAAGAAGCTGTTTCTAACATAGTGATTTTTCTCTAATAGCAGAAGCCTGGAATTCTGTTTCTGCTCACCTCCCTTCTTACACACTGCCGTCACTTTCTAGTCCCATGGGAACTACCTATTACACATTCTGATGTTAGAATATAGATCTTCATTAAAAAGACTATTAAATGATTGAGACAACACCAAGCTGAAGCATCAATCTTTATTTATAAAGTAAATTACAAAATAGATACGGTAAACTTAGTTAATTTTAGCATCTGAAGGTGGCTTTCAGTGAATACATAAACACACTGATAAACAATATTTTTTCTTTACAGTGTCTATCTGAGCAACAGGGCAATTTTTATCTTGATTAGTTTAGCCTTTGATAGGAGTGTTTTAAAAGATCAAGATCTCCTTAACTTGAAACATAAACATTTAATAATTACCCGCCCTGTTAATTAACTATTTAATAGCTTGTGAGTTAACTGCAATCAGCTGCATTGCTTTTGGGCTTTATGAAGGCCAACAACAATTTGAATGGACACTTTTAATTATTTAATGACCAGAGTCAGTTAAAGAAGCAACTTTGATTAATTCCCACATTTTGCGCTGGTTGTGAACATTCATGAACAGAAGTGGAGGCAACTATGTAGATGTAAACGTGATAGATTGTACAAAAAGAACAGATACTTCTATTGCTGTTAGGAGAATAGCTACAAGAGGCCTGGAGAAGCAGCCAGCAGTGCAAGACTTCATACAATTCTCTTTTTGAGGAAAGATGAGGGAGTGACATGCTCAGGACATGAGAAACTCCTGGCTGGGTCGGGAGTGTACATCACATAGAATATTTTCATGTAAGGTAATCTACAATGCTGGTTTGGACTGAACTCTAAAGCAGCTCATCATAAATGCTCTTGCATAATCACTTAACCCACTCTCATCATTCTCCAGATTAAGTTTTCCATCTTCTACCCTCATCTACCTAAAGCAAGATTACAAAAAATACCAAACAAACCCAAAAAAAAAACCAACAAAAAAACCCAACAAAACCAAACCAAAAACAAACAAACAAAAAAAAAACCACCAAAAAAACCCCAAAACAAACCAACAAAATTAACAGGTAAAAATACCCCAAACAAACATCCAACAAACCCCCCCAACAACATGCACACGACCCTATCAGGTCAAACTTCATTATTTAAAACATTTAGTCTTAAAAAGCTAAACTTCCTTACAGGCTCAAGAAAGCGTTATGATGTATGTGCACCCTTGCTATGGCACAAGGGCAGGAATACTAAACTCAAACAACCCTCTAGCAGTAATTTTTAAACACTACACCCCTTAAAACCAAACCAAAACAAAAAACTCCAAAGTTATTTAGGTGTGTTGCAAATATTCTGAGTTAATCTAAAAATACATTTAATTACAGTGTACAATGAGCTGTACACACAGTAACCATATTTAAAATGCAATGACACTTGCCTGACCCATAGTACACATAGGAAACACTTCAAAGACCAGCTCCTTACCCAAAAGGGAGAAGGCAAGAGGCAAGAACACAAGAGCTAATGGCGAGCAGATTAGCTGAGGATCAAGACCTATTGAATTGGACTGATGTAGTGTGCAAAATTAAATGAAAAAAAGCTGAAGTTCAAAATTTCTGCATATAAAAAAACCACAGTAAAACCAACTATTGCAGCCTTCACATATAGTGCAATCTCAGTCAATAGCAAGCTAGTATAGCTAAAAAAAAAATAGATAATTTTTTTTTGTCAGGAACTACTAGTGTCAAAACATTATTCCCTACAAAACTAGGTTAAAATCTATTTTCCACCAGGTAAACACACGATTCAGCTTTATAATGAGTATATCCACCAGCTACGATAATATCCAACAAACCAAAGCTGGCAACTCCCATGTAGCTTTAAAAAAAACCAAAACCAACAAAACTCAAAAACCACAAAGGTCACATACAAGACACTAAAAAGCAAGTCCTTACTGGGAATATAATCTATTCATGAGTATTTGCTTCCTCACACAGTTTTAAATATTTAAGGTCATCCAATACTTGATTTCCACATCTAATTCTCCCTTAATGCACTTGTTAAAATAATCTATTTTTCCTCTTCTTATTAAACACATTACTTACACTTCAATCAAGTTTAGACTCTGGCTGATTTTAGTATTTTGATGAAGGGAAGAAAGGAGGAAAAAACCCCTGAAATCCTAACTAGGGGCTTGCTTCCAGCAGTTATTCAAGACCTAGCTGGATTTAAATTACAGATTTAAGTTACTATTGAAATTCAAACATTTAGGAAAAGTAATTTTCAGAATAACTTGAAAGTAAAAATTGCAGTTGGTACTGCAAACACAGTAGGACCCAAGGATAATTCACTGTTACAAAGCAAGACTACTTCAATTTTTACAGCACTTAAATATTTTTAGATCCAAGTGCGCTGATAATTAATTATTTATTAGATACTTTGGGCATATTGCTCTGAAAGCAGCTCTATAATCTATTGAGTATACTAACTCTAGTCATCTTTTACTTGGTCATTCAGTACCTAATATGTAACACTTACGAGTGATACAGAAGTCTGGAAAAGCTATGGTATTTTATGTCAGATTTCTTTAAAAGGTAATTCATGAAATTATTTATGAATTTGAGATGACCAAGTTTTTGCCTAGGAAAATGTCCACCTATTCCTGAATGCTTATATTAATTGAACAATAACTGATTTTAATTTATCTTTTCCATTTCAAGGAAAAAAAACAAAACCAAACAAAGCAACAAAAACTAAAGACAACCTTCTATTCTACTATTGCCCATAAGTGCTACAAGGAAAAATAAAGTTTTAATTGGAACAATGCTATGTAGTCCTTCATCTCTTCTCACATGGAAAATATTACAGGTTTAATAGGCTACACATAACAATATAGCTGTGACTTACCCACAGAACACATGGGCTTCATAGTCTTACATAGTCTTATGATGACATGTACAGCTATTAAATAATGGATTCTAAATCAAAATAAAGGGGTACTAGCTTAGTTTTTCTCTTCTAGCTTTAAAATAATTACCTCTTCTATATGTCATAAAACATGGTCAACAAATATAATCATGTTATAATATAAAAAGTGTTGAGGTCAGAAAAGAGAAGAGTAAAAAGAGCTTTTTTTTATCCCTAGCATCTATGAATGGAATGATTTCAGTTCATTACCAAAAGCCAGATTTCCATTTCTTACTCTAATATTTTAACAAATACAAACACAATTTCTAATCACTAAGTGTTTCAGTCTCTGCTGGACCTCTGATCAGTCTTCGTATTCCCCTCTTCCCTGCAGGACCTTTTGGTTTAGCAAAACTCTGTTTGTAAGCATGTTGTTTTGGATGTACTTCTTCATAAAGAAAGTCAGCAGTTAACTCATCACCATTGTCTATTTCAATCTGGCAGAAGAAAACAACATCATAAAGTCAAAAAGATTTAGAAACTTTGCTGAAACTCAATACTATATTAAAACCGTATGTGCAATAATGTTCCAAGTCAAGCATGAAAAGTTCTCCAACTTATGCCTAATGCCCTGAGAAATCTTGGATCGTTTATCTGCAACTCCCCTATACTCCCACCAGTATTAAGTGTGACTTAAGTATTTTCCTGAAATGTAAGCACAACTAAACAATACATATGCCAAGGAATTTTTTTTGCCCCAAGCTTTGGCACAGTGTACCTGTTAATACTAACTAGAGGAACACATTCCATGTGAAACTAGTGCTTATTTACTCATTTGAAGTATTTACACATTTTAAGAATCAAAATTGTTCACTATAACATGCTTTAAACACTTAACAGTATAAGCAATGTGCATACATATTATTATCTCTTGAGAAACAGGGGCAGAAGTATAAAGAAGCTTATATTGTTAGCTAGCTACTGCCACTCAGCAAGTATTCAAGTGTTTAGCAAGGAAAAGCTAAAATAATGAACAAAATGGAAGGGAGTGTTTTAGTTTTCAAAATCTAGATATATGAAACAAAAAAAAATATAAGAAAACAGTGTTCTCAAGCCAACCTCCACTGTTTTAAATTGCAGGAATTTAGAATTCAGAGAAACGCTATGGCCTTGCTCTGCTGAGCATTCAGCACTTCATGCCCTGCCAACCACAACACTTGACAGACTTGCCAGCCCCAGTTTTGCTGTTACAAATACATGCTCAGAAATTGCGCTCTGTAGGAATTTTCAGGAGTCACATGGTGCTTTAATCTTCTTGTAGAAAGGCAATTTCAGAAAAATAATTACATACAAATACACATAGCAAAAATCTAGTTAATTCAGGTCATCTCAGTAAAAATGGTTAGTATTAACTCTGCTATTTTTAAAGGAAACAATCTTCACAGAAACTAAGCTTCCATAAAAGTATTTTAAAAAGTAACCGTAGGTCACAAATGGACCACTTCTGTGATCTCTGCTCGGGAGGTGAGAAGCAACGTTTTGCATTGCAGTAAAATCTATACAGTGTGAAAAGATCAGCTTACTTGCAAATGCTTGTTTGCCCCATCAAGGACTCCTAAGATAGCAGTTTTAATTTTCAGAACTCCAGCTTGAAATTATTTTGAAAATCCCTACATAACCTTGGCTTTAAAGGAATTTAGTGTTTAACAACAGCAATGTATTTTGGTCCAAAACACAACACAACTTTGAGTAAGAAATCATGTTAATTCTACAAAGTCCTTCAAAGTACTCTCAAATTCTTCCTTGATGCAGAGGGATATATTTGTCCAGGATAAAAGTGTAGAAATTATGAAACAGAGGAAAACTTCCATGACTTAACTTTGTATCTCTAGCTCCATCAACAATTATTTCCCATTCAGGAAAAACTAAGTTACATAATACCTGTCATAGTTTAGACAAGGTGGTGACAAAGTTATAGTTTTCCATTAAGAAGGGAAGACAGAAATGGAGAAAATACCCACACACCCACTGTACTTACCTTCCTGACTATCTGCATCCACAACTGTGTTTCTACAATTTCTAACAGAGGACTTTTGCAACTAGAGTAGAGCATTCGTTCTCGTATGCTACAGGTATACCCTGGCATAGAGTAGATGAAAACTGCAGGAAAAGAAAACAACACCACAAATCAGACCATAAATACACTCCATCAAAAGCTGTATCATAAAACCATTTATAGCAGAGAGGCAATGGAAATTAACTATGTGATATGAGAGCAAAAAATGTGGTGCCATTCTGGAGTTTTTTTGCTTCAGCAAGTGTTGAGAAGGATAAGGATTTGACAGGAAGGTCTCACAGATATGTATGTATAACAGAAAGATCTTTGACTGCAGAAGCTGAAGAAGGAGTAGAAATAATAGTAAGTTTTGATATAGAAGGAAAGAATTGCTGAGCCAGTCTTATTGGGTAACTAGAAGGCAAAGAGCAAGTGAATTGGAAGGGGCTTTTATGACTTAGAGCAAAGGATAAATCCACCTCAAACAAAAGATGTTTTTACCAAACAAAAGGATTTTCACAGGCAAACAAGAAAGCCAGTGTTGCAAGTAGAGAAAAGATGTCAGAATTTTCCACTGCAAGAAAACTGAAAAACAACTTCTAGCTTAAACTGAAACATACTAACCTTTTTTGATTGGAAAATAGTAACATGAATATGGTAATGTTAGTAGTTAGGATAGGCTTTATGTAATAGTAACGGCATTGATTGGTTGTCATGTTTTAAGATGCTCTAACCAGAACTAGAGATGGCTTCAGACGAACCGTGGCTGAAAAGGCTGTGGGCTGGGCTCTTGTCACCCATGACCCGTGAATTGCTGTGTCATTTGGATATAATAAACAGCATTTTAAAGAGCTGCCTGGAGCCCTGCATCCCTCATTTTTGGCTCTTACAAGCAAGTGTTTCATTTCAAACAGGGGATAAGAGAATGGCCAGTATCTGTATGTTTTCACATTTATGGGTATTCATAATCAAAATGGACAGCTTACTACTCCACAAACATAAGAGCTCTCCTTCACAAGTTCACAGTTTCACAATCAAATGACTCTGAAATTTATGATCATGCTGACACATCTTTCTCTCTGACTCAAAATTCCTAAGGAATTTGAAACAAGCCAGTGAAGTTTCATACTGAGAAATTTTCTCATACTTATGAATTCCAAATAGTCTCCTTCATGTGTGTGCTTATACAGGAAAAAGTGGTAACGCGCAGCATCCTTTGGAACTCTTTTTGGCAAGTCCTTAAGTTCAGTATCAAGCGTGTTGGCCAAAATAATAGTTTCATTTTTCATATCAATTTGCTGTAAACAAAGCAAATATGAATATAGTTAATGCACAAAAAACAAATCAGAGAACACGACAGGATGGAAACAAGTTTGAACTAATCTAATTCAAAATGGTAATTTATCAGCATACTACATCAACACACATTGTTTAATATGTAAGTAATCTATTTTATACTCATTATTAAAAAATAGTTAAAATATCTTATACTTGCCAGTTGTACATAATTGAGTTTCTTATTTTTCAGTTTCTCCAGAGCCTGAATAGCTTCTTTAGCAATGGGGAATGCTACTCCTTGCAGTGTTTGATGCTTGGTATCCACACCAACATCTGCCTGTACCTGGAACACAAGTCAGCTGAGATGTTAAAAGAAACCTCTGCAGGCATTCATTTGGTTTTATACAATGACTGACAATACATTCCATATGGTTACGCATAAAGTTAGCGGTAGCTATTCCAAAAACAAACTACCCCAAAAAATAATTTCCTTTTACAAAAGATTTGCATTTTTTAATTTACAGGTCATGTTTGTTTGCTAGCCTGTGAAGTTTCTTATCTCTGAAACAGATCTGCTTAGCAGAGCAACAAAATCATCAGAGGGAAAATGGTTCAAGTGTCAGTGAAAAAGTTCCAAGTTAAAATCTGGTATAGAGACCAGGAAGAAAAATCTTGATTTCCACATGCTGTGTTATACTTTTGACCTGAAAATATTCTTTATAAACTTTGTTATAGCTTGAAAAATTTTAGATCAAAACAAAGACATGATTTCAAGGGAGTCAAAATTTTTGAAGGAAGAGAGAAATTATGAGACAAAACTGATCTTTTCAAAGGAAAAGTAAAGCTACTACTCTCCCTCCTGCTTCAACATACTCCCCCAAAAAGCCTACACCAAAACCAAAGCAAACAAAACAAACAAACAAAATCCTAATTTCTCATTTTTAGAAGGTCTAGCACAAAGTAAAAAAAAAAAACAGTCCAGGACAAGCTAGACAGTTGTTCATAATCTAGCTGTATTAGTATCAAATGATTTGAGAGAACAGTTATTTTAAAGCTGATGTTCAAGAATTTATGTTTATCTTCATATTTATTCAGTTTCTTTTAAAATAAGTCTGGCCTCCAGTCTTCTTTGGTCTTAGTTTATTGTTTAAGTACTGTTTTTTTAATATATTCACTTCCGTTTAAAGTTTCACAATTACCTTTAACATTGGTTATGAAACTGCAAAAGTCAAGAGTGTACCAAATGGAAAGTATGGGCCTTAGATCTATCTAGTAGAAGATGTGCCACTTTATTTAAGAGATGTTAATAAGATATGAAACAAACTGATAAAAAATTAAAAGCAAACACTTGTGGCAACACTTACTTATACTTCACATTCTATAGAACAGCTTGTCAGCAACAAGGAAAGAGGAAAACAAAGCAGGTGGAGAGCTTACTTTGCACAAAGATTGATAAATTTATGAACGAGGTTATAGAAAACATATTTTGCAAAATATATATCTGCTAAGACTGAAATGTAGAATAGGAATCACAAAAATAATAAACCATAATAAAATACCATACTCTAGAAACCATATTAAAATACAGGTAGAAAATAAGTACTCCAAACTTAAAAACAAGCAGTGAAGTGTGGAGATAGACAAGGGAAGAGAGTGACACAGCATAACTCCAGATATAAGAAAATGAACAGAACCACCTAAGTAATTTAAGAATATTTAAATTTACACAGCTAAGATTCAGTTAGTAATGGCTGCTAAGTGCTGGATAAATGGCAGATGAAATTTCCTGTGAATAGATGTAATGTATGCAGGAGGAAAAAACCCTCTTTTTACTTGTATGGTGATGGGGTTGAGCTAGCTACTACCATTCAGGAGAACACCTTGCATATCATTCTGCCTAAACCTGAAACTAAACCCAAGCAAAACAAAAAAGCCCCAAACACTCCCCACCCGCAAATGAAATGTTATAAATTGTTAGGAAAAAGAGTAGAGAACAGAACATATTATTACGCACTGGAGATATCAGTAACATGCCTGCATCTTGAATACCATATGCAGATCTGGCTTCCCCATCCCTCCATCTCATAAATTATATAGCAGAACTGGAAAAACTGCAGAGAAAAGCAAAAGGATCAGAAGTATGGAGTACCTTCTTTAGGAGGAAGAACTACCCAGATTAGGACTCGTCAACCTGGAAGAGATAACTGATAAGGAATACAACAGAGGTCCATGGATAGAGAATCGTGGGACAGTTGGGGTTGGAAGGGTCCTCTAGAGGTGATTTAGTCCAAGCCTCCTGCAGTAAGCAGCAACATCTTCAAATAGATCAGGCAGCTCAGCCCCGTCCAACCTGACCTTAAACGTTTCTAGGGATGGGGCATCTACCACTGCTCTCAGCAACCTCTTCCAGTACCTCATCACACTTACCATAAAACAAATTCTTGCTCATATCTAATCTGAACCTACCCTGTTTTAGTTTAAAACCATTCCACCTTGTTCTATTGCAAAAAGCCCTTCTAAAAAATCTGAGCCCTTATTTTTATAAGCCCCCTTTAAGCACTGAAAGGCCACTAAGAGTTCCCTGAAGCCTTCTCTGCTACAAGCTGAACAACTGCAGCTCTCAGTCTTTTCTTGCGGGTAATGTGTTCCAGCCCAATGATCATTTTTGTGGCTCCCTTCTGGACCCACTCTAACAGATCCATGTCTGTCCTGTGCTGAGTACCCCAGAGCTGGATGCAGCGTTCTAGGTGGGATCTCACCAGAGCAGAGGGAGAGGATCACCTCTATTTACTGCTGGCCACACTGCTTTTGATGCAGCCCAGGATACGGTTGGCATTCTGGAATACAGAGGTCTTTATCTAAGGAGAGAGGGAAACTGAGGATTGACTGAATGACTCTTCTTTACCTTTGTCAAACTATCTGTAGGGTATAAGAATAAATTAGAGATGCTAGAGAGCAGTCAGTGGTTCTTCACATAGTATTTTGTCAAGCTGTGGAATGTGCTGCCACAGGACCTGTGGCCAACAAAACCTTTATGTGGATTTATAGAAATGACAAGACTAGATAATGGATGAAAAACCCATTAAGAAGAATTACATAGTAAGATGTCACCTTTTGTGCAGGAAGATCCCTACCTGCAAATGTTAAGGCAACAGAAGAGCATTTAAGGTAATTATGGACTTCTTGCCCTGCTCCTATATCTTTCCTGGATTTCTGCTGTTCTCTCAAGGACTTGACAACAGACTAGGGTCTCAGGGTATATATTATTAGGGTAATTATGAAAGAATATACATATGGAAAACTTATTAAAATCAGAAAGCTCTTAGTTTGCTAAGTCTTATTCCAGGCTTTGTAATGGTGGAAACAATGAAGAGATAATTGACGTTAAGTTATTGTATTGTGAGGTGTTTCAAACAAAGCCAAAATGGCAGCAATATACAAGGTATGCGTCCCTGAAAAGCAAAGGTATTGCTGCTGAAATTTCAGAACACATAAAGACTTAGTCTGCATGAATCAGCTTCTAAACACATTGTATGTAGTACATACACTAATACCAGAAGTGATCACCGATCCCACAGAGGTTTTACATTCATTACTCATCATTCATCATCATGGTTTGGTTTTTTAAAAAGTTGATGAAGTAAAATGCAGTATTTAATGATGGTGAATGTATTTCTGCATTGAATTGTTAAAATCAGACATGAAAATGAACAAAAGACACCACTGGGAGAAAAAAAGTCAATAACCAACAAAGATGCGGCAAAAGCACAGTAGAGTGAAAACATCAGAGAAGATACACAGGTGTATTTAACACAATGGCTGCTGGTATCCAGCTGCAGAAATAAATCACATTTCAAACACATGTACCACAGCTCTAACATACAAGTCTAAAGAACAAATAAGTTCAGCACATGACCTATTTTAATATACGTCTGACACAAACAGTGTTCAAATGAAGGAAAAATGTGATGAAAAGAATCCTCTGAAACTTTTCAGTCACTAGCTAGCTGGCAATTATCAATTATTTTTAGTTAAAGACATTTGATAGAGATTTTTCTAAAAAGTGTTTGTAACATAAGCAAATCAGTATCTTAAAGTGTCAGCTATTTGGTTTGGATTTCTGTTTCATTTCTACTGGAATCCTCTTCCCCTCCTCTCAGGCTTAAAGAGAAGTGCACTGGTACTAGAAACTATGTACCTTTCCTCTAAGAATAAGGCTGCTGAAATACTCCTGGCAATCACTCACTGCAATAATTGCTATTCTGTGTTTTCTCTACAATTTCTGCCACCATGGGAAATGCATGGGGGCAATCACAAGTGGACAATGACTGAGGTTGGAAGACATCTCCGTAGGTCACCTTGTCCAATGACACTATTCAATCAGGGCCACCTAGAGCCAGCTTCCCAGTTCTGTACAAACAGCTTTTGAATATCTGCAGGATGAAGACCTTGTAACCTCCCTGGGCAACCATTGCCAGTGCCTGGTCACCCTTCACAAAGGACATCCCGTGATACCAAAAGCTGAAGTTGCAACAATTAAGCTCTGCAGTTGCCAGGCCTCTGATTTGGACACTAGGCCTTTCAAACGCAATGAGATCACTCATTCCACTTCAGCCATCATCATCCTGCAGTTTCAACCCATTGTGAAGTACATTTATATGATCATCCACTCACACTTTCTGAAACGTCCCATTTTCTGTTCTGCCTTTTTTTACTCTAGAAAGATATTTCCCAACAATACATTTGGAACTCTGCACCATTTCCCACACATGCTTGAAGACGTTTTAGGTACCTCGTTAATCTTAATTTGTCGAAGTTCCTCTTCTGCTGCAGTCAAAGGTGCAGGGGAGGATTGTGATATCAAATATTTTTGATATCCATTCAGTGAAACATCATCCTGAAAGCACAATATCAATATTTATCAGGATCTTTTAGAATAGAACTTTTCTTCATCAATTTTCTATGGAGCATTGCAAAAACATACAGTTATGGTCATTTTATTTGAATATTCCAATATTCCATTACGTCTTGTTTCAGAAGCCCAGAGGTATCCCAGTTAATACACATGAATTAGCAGATGGGACCATAATAGGGTTCCACCAGAAAATAACACAGCTGGTTGCAACCAGACCATCCTTAGGTTTAACAAAATAAAGACAAAGTTACCCACTGGATGCTGATGATCAAGATCCTGAGTGACATCAGCAACTTGAACACCTTGAAGAAGCTGTGATATTCACACAGATGAACATTAAAGGCCAGCAACGATTAAGAAGTTTATAAAGACACTCAAACCAGCATTTTAGAGATATAAAAGTTGTAACATAATGAGCCTAGAAAAAGTGAGTTATAGCAATGTCATCTTCCCTGTGCTCCATGCCATTCTGAAAAAACAGTAAGACAGACGTAATGCTCCTTCCTCAAAACTGACACGGAAGTTCAGACTTGTAGGGCTAGACACAAATTCCACATATTACATAGACTGCTAATGGTTTGGTGCAAGTGGCAGTGAGAGACTGGTTGATCGGACAGACAAGAAAAAAATGACAGGACCTCCACCTTCTCTTACCAAGTCAGTTATTTACTTCCCTAGAATACAGCCTCTCCAGAGAAGTTGATTTACATGTTGGTTAGGATAATGCAGCCTTCATGACAGGTTAATGAAAAATATAATTAATTATTTACTCAGTGAGCAACAGAATTATTAGTCTCATGTCCACCACAACAACCCATTTCTCTTCCACAGCTTTTTTTTCCCCACTACAATATCCTCCATTCTTCCCCAAACACCTTCCATTCCATTAGAGGACTCATGCTTATGCAGCGAGATTAAGAGATATGCCTATTATTCTTATGTTATTTAGTTTTCATAACCATTTGAAGCAAGGACTTCTAAGCCTGACGATGTTAACTCTACCTCTTAACTTGTTCAAATGAGTTTAAATACACTTTAACTCTTTATATACATAGCTTTTAACTATTTTTTTTCCTTAAGCCAAAAAGACCATAAACAACCCACACAAATACCAATAACATCAGCTACTATATTCAGTATTTAAAGTCAGTGTCCTGACTTTGAAAAGAAAAACATACCTGTACCGTTCCAAATACTTCATCCTTAATATGGCCACCTCCAAATTCTTTCTTAAGCGTTGCTCGGGTTGCTGCATACAACATTTTTTGACGAACCTAGCATATAATTTTGGTTTGGTTATTTAAAAAAATTTTGTTGTACACAGAGAATCTAGCATGTTGGTGTACCAAGTCCATTAACAAACATCTTTCTTGGACAAGTATTTTAAGTGTTGAAGCTGCACTATAAACTTGTAGAGCTCTGAATCATTATACTTACTCATACTATTAAACTCACATCATCATTATACTATATATTATTATCAAAGTAACTTCAAAACAGAATTGCAGCCTTAGTTGGAGTATGAGGGTTTTTTTAAACAGGAAAAAAAATCAGCATAATCTTTAGTAAATGTAAATCTTTTTTTAAATGGGAAAAAACCGCAACTGTTTTTTTGTCACCTGGTCTGTGTATTAATGGATACAACAGACAGCAAAAGAGCAGACTAGAAATACCTCATTATTACTTTTGATTTGATAGTGACTCCAAATAGTTATGGTTCAACTACAGAGTGGAAAAATTATGTTTGCTCCCTATTAACTTGTGTCTAACATAGTCACTTACTCCTCTCTCAGCAGCCCCACCTTCCCACTTGATTTCACCATCATGTTATCCCCTCCACAATACTACACCTTTTCCACATAATCATCTCTACACACATCAACTTTTGGTGTCTTATTATTTCCTAACTGCTAGTGAAAGCAGTAGGAATATGGGAACAGCTTTGCTTTCTGCCTTCCCTTATCTCACATTCCCAGAACCTGTATCCTAGTTTCTCCTAGAAATCCTTAATTCTAACCTTAGTCCTCTCCCATGCTCTCAAATCACTAAGAAGCAGTGTATTCTGTGGCACACCACATATCCACAAGTGCCAGGTGGGAAGCCAGCAAGCTAAACAGAATAAACAGCTTGAGCTCACACTATAATCCTCCTCTATATGAGCATCCATTAAGAGTTCTGTCCTATATCTTCCATAAATTTTTCCCAAGTACTGACAGTAAGACAGACAAACAGGACAAAAAAAACCTGTATTTTGTCCGCCAGTTGGGCTAAAAATACATTGGATCAGCTGTACTCCATCTAGACCTACTGATATGCTCTTTAATCATCTTAAAAAAACATTTTCCTAGTTTTCTTCTGGGAATGTAGGGGGAGGCTGAAGAATGCTTCATTCCTCAAATCCTCTTCCTTCATATCTCGGACTCAGATCAAATGTTACTGTTGAAAAATCATTAACATGAAGCCTCTGATGACTGTGACTTACAGGAGAGTGATCAGGTGACCATGCAATGAAGATCCATTCATATCCTTGAGCATTCTGAGAATCTAATCTGTAGAGTATATAACATGGTTGCTTGTCTTCAAGAAGAGGAAGGACAAAGGAATCATAATCTTTTTCCCATGATCCAACTGGCCATCTAGAGGATCCCACAACAAGCTGCTCTAAAACCAATAAGCAAAGCTAGAGGTTAGCAACAATACAGTTAATACTTTCTGTCAAAATTAATAATTACAATAAAAAGTTAACTGGACACGTAATTGTTCATAATTATGCCCAAAAGAATGGAAGACAAGAACAGTAAGTGTAAAAGTGGGTGAATTCCTACAAAAGCTATGTTCAAATCCTAACTTACTTTTACAAAAGTACTGATAGTTTAGAAATAATGGGCTGGTTGTCATCAAGTTCTTTGATCTGAAGTGATAGTATTGATGTCAGTTTTTAGGAGAACACACATGGAAGGGAAATAAGAACTGTTTTCTAACAGTTTATTTTTTAATTTGGAATACTTAGGCATAAATATTTTTATTTTGGAATTATAATTACTGATGCTCTTGGTATAACATATTAATGTTTGCACTCACTGTAAGGAGTCAACAACCCAGTTATACAGTGAAAAGAGTTTGGAACGAATATGCTTGCACTAATCACTGACTTGACTATGTAAGTAGATAAACCTCTTTCTAATATAGCTTCATAGCTATGGTCTCTTTAAATGACTGAAGTTATTTATTATGTATAATTGGCTTAAGTCTGTATAGAATACTTCAATGGTATTTAATTATGTGAACAGCTGTAGCAACAGCTTATACATCCAAAGGAAAGTATTAGTATACTGTCTTACAAAACATTTATCAGCTTCCCAAGAAATACTAGCCTGCACAAGTGGAATAGAAATACTTTGTTTAAATGGGGTCTTGCAACTATTTGAAGACCGACATAGTAGCTAGTATATAAATCACCATTTGATAGTCTAGAGCTTAACTTATAAAACTTCAGACAGAAATCCAACAGCACAGAAATGCCTCTAGAGCAAAACATCAAGGAAAGCTTTCCACCACAGTAACTCACAGAAAACGAACAGCTCACGGCAAGGGTGTTTGGCGCTTCTTTGAATTAGACACAAAGTACCTGAAGTTGTACACCTAAACCAAGAGTATTCAGAATGTACTTGCCAATTCTGAACTCTAGGTGGATTTATACCCACTTGGATTTAAGATACAGCCAGACGAACTTTGCTGCCCAGCAGCAAATCTCTTCTCTTATTAAATCAGATTAGCAAAACAGGATTTGACTATTATCTGTTGACTATTATCTGTTACTTAAAGCTCCTGAAGATAGATGAGGCAACTGCCCTTCTTCCAGTACACTGGAAGTTTTACAGGTTTCTTTTTGAAATCCAGAAAATCTATCAAAGACTGGATTCTGCTTCTTATAGAGATGAAATGCATATACCCACATCTATATGTTCATATCTATATATGTGTATACACATGTACACATACACACAAAAATGAAAAAACAGGAAATGAAAAAACAGAGAAAGTATTCCGTTTATATCTTATTTCTAGGCTTCACTTCATATTATAAAGTAGCATATACACAAAAGCCTATTGTTTTGCCTTGCTTAATGGGACAAAAACCCCAAAACAATGGTTTGTTAGCATTTACCTTGTGCTACTGAGACCATCACAAAGTCCTGCCCGTAATCTTACTATTCCCACTGCCTTGAAGAAAGCTATATTAAAATATCAGACGACTTCCCAAGAAAAGCAAACACAAAGAAGGTAACAGTAGGTTATTTACCTAACAATAAAAGAGTGTGTGTGTATGTATGTACATGTAACTTTTTCTAGCTAACAGATTTTTAGTGTACTGTAAATGAATGAAGTCTAGAACAAACAACTTCAAAGTGGACAACTGACATACTTGAAAAGATGGACTAAACCAGGAAATCTTATAGAACCAACCAACCAACCAACATTGCTATTGCTTGAGTTTTGGAGATGTTTCTAATTCTACTCCTTTCTCTCTTTCCAGCCTATATCTCTTTCAATGTTTGCAGCCTATATCCCTTGCCAAGAAGTTCAAAAATCAGACTCAAGTTCTGATTGAAATTATGTGATTTCCTATTTATACATATATGTTGAAATGTAAGAAACAGTTTTAACTCTGAAAATTTAAATAAAGTTACAGATTTATCAAGATATTTTCTATGTAGCCAGATTATTATTTAAATATTTGTTTTCCCAAGACTTTCTATGTACAGCACTTTTATACTGATATATCCTGGTTAAAAAGGTAAAATTTATAGTTATACATCTAAGCTGACTGGTTGTTGTGTTAAACTACCTCTCTGCCTAGTGAAAGGAACCAGAGTGTACAAATGCTACGCAGGTATGGAAATTTTCATTTCCTCTACTCTTTCCTTAGTAAGAGATAAGAATAAGCTTATTTATACTATCCATATCAAATACACAGCAGTTCTTAGTAAAATATGAAATTACATTTGGGAGAAAAATTCAGATGCAAAAATACAGTAGTATTGTAGTAGAATTCTACATATTCTATATATGAAAAACCTTAGTAACATTAAGCTTGGCAGACTTCTGGTTTTTAAACAATTGTAAATGAAAGTCATTAAAATAACTAAGAAAATATCTAAAAGAAACAAAAAAAATCATAAAATTCAACTAACCATTCTCAATGACTATTTTTAAAAGCCTGTATTGTCCATTTCTGGCTCCAACAAAGATGTCTTTAAGACTTCCACTAGCTGAAAAAGAAAAAATAAAAATAATCAAATTAACACATTTCACTTCCCACGGACAAAGAATATTCATGAGGGTAAGAACAACACTGGAAAAATGTACAAATGGCCCTTTGCTACAAAGTTGGAAAGAAAAACTAACCCAGGAGTGATGCTGCTGCTATGCTGCACACTGTTCCAACCATCAGCTTGCCACACAAAGATAAAAGGCAACATTAAAATGCAGCCCTGCTTTCTAGCATGATTCTACCAAATGATTTTCAACATCGTGAAAATTAAAGGTGACATCATATCATCAATCTCATGTTTCAGAGTTAACACAGCAACACAATAAAAATATGACACATCTCAAATTACAACAGCTTCACGAAGTCTGCAGGCTTAGCACAAACTTTCAGACAGAAACTTTACACCTGCCAGGAAAATGTTAGAGCTTGTCTGGTAAAAGTGATGGTCTTTCCTGAGAACACCTCTCTGCAGAGTACCAGTGAAAGCTGCCACTCATTGTTCATCTTTCATACTACCTTATCTCCTTCTATGGTTGATGACATTGTTCAAGCCCCAGCCTATTGTAACAGGATAGCTTTATAGTGAATTTACAAAGGAATTAAAATATTTTTACATGTTGGTAAATCACATTGATGCTGTACCACCAACATGATAGATTCGCTTCCCTAAGCGCACTGAAGAGCTGTAATTGACTTGCATGAAGGCCATCCTTATCTCAACTGCTCTGCTAAATAATCTGAGTGCAAATCAGTTTAATTATACCAGAGACAGAGGGTTGTAAGGACTTACTGAAAAACATTTATTGCAAGCTGGTCCTTTAAGTAATCCCATAGGATAGAGCATAGCACCAGCAAAACAAACATCAAACCAGGAAACAAATAAAATGGATTATTTATAGTCAGGTTGAGGCCAAGTGGACAGATGGTATCCCGCAACATTATTGCCCTTACCTAAAACATTTTACATTTATGTTCATCCAGGCCCATCCTGAGAGTCCAAAATGGCATGTTAAAAGAATATATTAAACAAACTGAACTGCAGTGGGTTACCAGTTCAATCTCAGTTTCATCCCAGCTGTCATCTTCCCACTAACCAGTGCAGACCCTCACAGTAATTTGCTGCCAGCTTTTCTGATCATCTCTGTTGGTCTTCACCATTCCATTGAGCAACCAAACATTGTGCCATTTTCTAGACTTTTTGCTCCCCCAGAATATTCTTTATCCTCTTTTTGCCTATTATCCTTTTGTTCCTTATTCTTTCATTTCAAAACTACAAACCAAAACAAAACTGGAATATAGCAGCCTGTACACAAATTCCAGAACTGTGACAGTTTCCTGAAAAAACATTTTGAGACACTTGTGAAAAAAGCTCACTATCAAGTATCTATGGGTTTTTTTCATCATTAAGATTTTTTAATCCATAACAGTGATATTATTTTCTGTTTAAACTTTCTGCATAGCAGTGGGCCACAGAATCAAAAATTGGGCTTATTTCACAAATACTTTTGCAGAGAATATTATTTTAAAATTATTTAGAAGACTGTAGACCCATTCAATTGTATTTCCTCCCAGTTACTGCATTCTGTGACTTCCTACAGTATTTATCTGCACTGGCCTGTTTAAAACGTCCAGTCCTTTTAGCAACTGCCTGATACATAGCAGTGTGCCCATGACTTCATTTCTCTTTCCAGAAAAAAGCAGCACATGCTGCCAAATCTTGTAATTGTTTATGAGTGACAGTAGCCTGTTTGTTGTAGCTAAAGCCAGCAGTGGCACAAGCAGAGCTATTCCTCTTCCAAATTGCAGAGACTGATGCTTTGCTGCAAACAGGATTCCTGATTAGTGCCTGCTGAGGGCAGGTTCCCGAAGGAAAGCTGCCGAGTTCCCTGCAGCTCTCCTCAGAGGACGAATGATTCTCAGACACGAAGCAGAGCAGAAGAGGCTTAGCCACTCTTTTGCTTACAATAAGCAACAGAGTTTTCTTCTGCTCCTCCCTGCCAGCATCGCCAGGAGAACAAGGGATTATGAGTTATTAACTAACAGGTTTCCCCAGACTGGAAAAAAAACTCAAACTATTCCAGGTGCACCTCTAGCCTGAGAATAGTTGAAGAACTTAAAACAAGAAGCTGCAATAAAGATCAAAGACTGGCATGCAAAAGAAGGAAAAGAAGAGAGGGAAAAGGACGCAAACCACACGCAGCCAATGGACAAAAAAGGGCATAGAAGAGCAGCTAAGGGCTGCCGTGGCTGGGACAAAAGTCACCTTCAACAATAAATATCTGAGCGCAGGCAAAGTACATGGTACTAGTCACCGAACACGCAGATTGCGGAAATCCAGACAGTAAAACCCGACTCCTCCATAATCCTGCAATATAATCCCTGCTTAGCATTCTGTGATTCAGGAGAACTCGCTACTACTGCGAAACAATGTGCTGTCTCCTTCTAATTGCTCCTCGCACTCTCCAAGGCCTGGAAACAGGGGGAAAAAAGGTTCCCACATACTTTTCCCCATCGTGGCCTCCAGCGATGGGCTTTATAGTGACTCTCCAACGCCAGGGCTCCTGCTGCTCCCCACGGCTCTCTCTGCAGGGGACCGGCAGCGACCCCCGGCATTTCTCGTGCTCTCCAACCCATCCCGAACTCGCTACGGCGACCCCGAGCAGGCGACAGTCCCCGGCTCGACGCTCACTCCGCCGCCGCTGGAAAACCTGCACTGGGGGAGCTACCTGAGCCCAGGCGGGCCCAGCCCGCCATTCATGGGGCTCTGCAGTGAACACTTTCCCCGGGCAGACTCCCTGCCTCTCCGGAGCGGACAGGCGCGGTTCGCTGGGCCGATAAACCCTGCAGGCTTCGCCTGACTGGGAACGGACCTATGGGCTCGACCCTGAGGAGCCGTGGTCGCCGGGGACGAAACCAGAAGCAGTTGCCCCACTCGCTCGCTCCCTCGCCAGCCCGCGGTGCAAAGGACGGGCTCCTCCGGCAACAAACAAAGAGCGCAGTAGTGGAAGAAATCCGGCCGGGAACGGCCCGCTAAGCGTCCGTCGCGGCCGTCTGCCTCCGCGCCGCGCCCCGACCCGCGGGGAAAGGCGCTCCGCCTGCCTCCCGCCCGGCTGGCACGGCCACAGCGGAGACGGGGCCGGCTATCATGAGGAACAGTGGGCACCGCGGAGCGGACGTGCGGAGGAGCCCCGCGAGTACCTTGGATGCCGGTCTGGTGGGACATGTCGCACCGCGCCCGGGCACCGCCGCCACCGCCGCCGCCGCCTCCCCGCCCGCCCGGCACGGCCCGGCCCCGCCGCGCGCACGTGACACGCCGCCGCCACGCAGCGGCCGAGAGGGAGAGCGGCGCCTTCCGGGCCCCGCCGGCCGGGCCGGGCCGGGCCGGGCCGGGGGCTGCGGGCTGCGGCCGCCACTGCACCGGGCCCGCTCCCCATACGCCTCCTCTCGGTGCTTCAAAACCTGGATGGGGCGCGGCTCTCTCTTCTCGCTTTCCCTTTGCTCTCCCTCTCGTTTCTTCGCCTCCTTCACCTGCTGTCCCGGAGACTGCAGCGCGATCCGCCGCGGGCATCGCCGCGCAAAGCCTGCGACCAGTCCTGCCTGGCAGGAAGGAACATGTGCCCCGCGGCCCGGTTGCTTGTTAACCGAAGTGCTGAAACAGAGCTGAGGCGAATTTAGTTGATCTGTAGAAGCCCGTTGGTGGAGACCTGTCGCTCTGGTTTGGGACGGCACAGAAGGAGCCATCAGGTGTGTGTGACAGCAGGTGGCATGTATACATCGTAAATTTCGGTTAAACAGTCCCTGATACAGAGCCCACAAGTCAGGGCACAGAGCACACACCCAGGGCTCGCTCAGTTCAGCACTTGCCCGTGCCTGAAAGGCAGTCTTTCTCTGTTAATTTTGCGGTATTTAGTACGTGGTGGCACTGCATCGACAGAAACAGTGAAGATTTCTTTCAGTGCAGATCTGGTGGTTGAGCCACTCGTCTGCCTCGGCAGGGCATGGATCCAGGTTTAGAAAGGGTGCATCTGCTTCTCAGGTCCCTATCCACATGGCCAAAGGCTTCTTTATGCCTTTTCAAACTGTGTTGGTACAGTTTCTCTCAGCTTTTTCTTACAAAGTTTCCAGTGAAGAAGAGTCCTGCATCATGAATTTAAGCATGCTCTGAAGGTCAATTGGCTTTTGCTAGCTCTTTTTCAGACTCATCTGTCTATGGGTTGAGAAGCACCGTCCTCCTAACAACAAAAAGATGGGTACTAAAGCTTCTTCAAAAATCGCTTCATTGTCAGCATTTTTAATCTGTGCTGTGGTGTAGATTACAGCTCCACAGATAAAATGTGGATGCTGTAGGCATTGATGATGATGATTTCTTCAGTTTCCTGGGAGTTAGCAGGTTTTATGGCGTGCTATTCAGCTAGAGAACACAAGAAGTACTGTAAAAGGACATACCAAATATCCAACCCAATGGAGCAGGCAAGAATTGAAGAGTAAGGCGAGCACATGGTAATCCTTCCTTCCCTGGTTCACCTTCCCAGCTTCCAGCATGCTGTAGCTGAGGAATTTCTGAAGTCAGCTGTGTTGATAAATGTGGGTGCCTGGGCTTTGTCAGATCCCTAGTTTAAAGAACACGTGGGATTTAGTGTCCTATTTGGGAAACGTGAAACAGCATTGTAACTGTTATGTGAACTGTGCTATGTAATGCTAGTCCAGCAAATAAAAAGTCACTGTGGAGACACGTCATCAGTTAATGAGCTGGGACTAACAGCAGCTGGGCAAACAGAAAAGCTGCAGTTTTTCTTTCTTCTAGCAAAGAGGCTGAAAGAAACCAGGAAATAAGAGACAGGTAGAGCCTACCAGGTACTCAGTAATCAGCTCTTGTTCCTTAATTGTAAGGCTCCAGGAGCACCAGGAGTATATGAAAATAGAAAGAAATTCTTGGAGAAGAGCTTTTTCAAGAGGAAGGGAATACTAGAGATCCAACCAAAGTGGCAACCAAAGATGTGGTTACTTTAAATTATTTGAGCCCTTGCCACAAGATGCCACAGGTTCTAAATTCTTGGGTTTTTCCCGTTTTGCTGTTAGCGCTTGTAAAGGATGGCCTGAAAATTTATGAGGGAAAAAGAAGTTTTTCTTGATAGACAGATGCCCTGAAAACACCGATCAGTTCCTTGCTCCAGCTAGTCATGTGTCCCCAGGACCACTACTGTTGTCATAATGTGATAACAAGGATGTGTGGCTAAGATTGTGGAACTGTTTTTTTTCAGTGGAAATTCATGCCTAGACTGGAAATATCAAAATGGTATGACATCTGTCACTATATTCAGATCATCTTGTTTGTCTGTCTGAGGTCATATCACTGCAGCTTCCAGCAATCTGAGGGCTCTAAAGTGCAGGAATGCAATCTTAACATCAATTTTATATGAAAAAAAACTTCTACACATTTGTACCACTTTTTGGCAAAAAGACAAACTGAAAGTCAAACATATTTCCTTTAAAATATTCTTTCTCAATATCACATGTATTTTCCTATTACAGTGATTGATATGTGACCAAGAAGAGATGTTGCATGGAAATTAACACAAGCAAGTAGGGATTTTATATCTAATGAAGATTCCTAAAGTTCTGAATTTTAGTGTCCTTCAGATTCTTACTAAAGTGGTTTAAATATTAAACTCCTATCCAAATCATAAAGAGTACCTGGACAAAAATAGGGATGTTTATATTTTAAGAAAGTTTTCTTTTTCTTATTGGTAATATCTTCCTTGTACTTGAACTGTTTTTCTACAGCAGATTTTGTATCTAATTAAGGCTGTGATTGTTTTCGTAGAGACAGCATATTGCCGTTTCCCAAATTATAATATTTCTTTAACAGAATAATAAATGACATATTTTAAAAGGAAATACTTCTAATAGATTTTGGTGCAGCATTTTCTGTGTGACTTCTGGGTCTTGTTTTCAGTGTCTTTAATGCCTTTTCCTATACATTTACTTCTTCATTGATTTAACAATGTTCTGTTCAAATACTTATGCTAGTTTATTAAATATTGTGGTTATAAGCTCTGTGGAATCAGCTGTTCACTCTGTTCATAGCTGTGTAATGGTGTGCAATCATTTTCTCCTGTTTAGATGTTGCTGGCATGTCCCAATTTTGACTATAATTGTCCACCTCACAATGAAAATGCACGTACTGTTTTACATACAGTTTCTATTACTGCACTTTGTACCTATCTTAAGGTGCCACTTAACAATTAAACACATTTCCAACAATGGAAGTGTAAGCACCTTTCTTTTTACCATGCAATATTATAATATTATAATATTATGGTTTCTTGCTGCAGACCTCCATTGCCTGTAGATGTCTAGCTTGATGCTCTTCAAAACTTCAGTTCAGATTATGCTTTTCCCCATCAGCATGGTCTTCAAAACTAACCATATTTTAAGATAATTAAAGTATGAGAGAGTCCATCAACATGATGAAATTTCTTCTATATAGAGTAAAAATATAGTATCAAACTCTTCCTTCAAAAATACGTGAAAACTTAATTTCTTCAACTCTGCTTCTAGTTATCTCCGTTCCAACATGCTCATAGGTAGCTAAACAAAAAAATTAGAAATCACATCACTGCTAGAGTCAGATTTGCTTTTAACTTTGAGGATAATGTGAAAGGTGTTCCTAGCAAGTAGACTTTGATTTTTGAGCATGCCAAATAAAAAGATATTCTTCATGATGAACAGCGCTTATGGATAGTCTGCTATTAAGAATTATTGCTCTAAGAACCCATTGCTCTCTTGCCATTACAGCAAGTTGTTTTCAGTACAGTGTGGACAGCCCTCAGTTCATGTTTGTCAGTAAGCCTTTATAGCAGTAAGAATATATCTCATCTCTTTATGCTCTGAGGCATTTCTGTTCATTTCTTGTAAATGAACAAATAAACCATCTAACTCTCTTCTCTTAATACTCTTAATCTGAGGGACTTTTCTTTCTGGCTCTCTAAAGAGCTGAAACACTAGGCGATTTCTGTGGGTGGCCAGGAAAATGCTAGATGGACAACTATTTTAGATTGAATTGCAATATAGTAAATAGCCAAGGTTAGGGTATTGGGGTTTCCCAGCCACTGCCATAAATGAAAACAGATTTGCAGCAATAGGTTTTGCTATATTAAAGGTTGTAGACAATTTAACTTTGTCACCTTTTTTTTATGCTTTGATAATAAGATGAAAATGTCCTATGAAGTAAACTGAAAAAAAGCACAGTTGGTGAGAGGTCCCATTTTTCTTACCTCTTTTATCTTATGTTAAGTACTGCCAGACTATTAAAGAGTTGATGAGTTGATTTTTTTTTTACTATATACGTGTCCATTTCTAGTCCTTATGCTGATCTGGTAAATCTGTAGACAGTCACTAGACATGGCATATCTGCTTTCTCTATGTGCAGCATAATGGACAGTGTCATGATCAAATTGTTTCCTGCTCTCAGTGGTTTTTAAATTATGAAAATTCTCAAATGTCGTTAGTTCTTTCATATACTTTCCCCAGTAGTAATGATTAACAAACATGTAAATACCACTGCAAAATCACTGTGCAAAATGACTTGTGATCCAATCATCCTTTTTGCCACTCTTCAGATTTTTCTGTTCTGTCTCCATGGGGTTACTTGAATGCATTTCTGAAGTGCATTAAACAGTAAGACTGACATCTGTGTGCTTCTCTATTCCACTTTTTTTCTCCAATGGGAAAATTTGTTTTTGTTACTTAAAACCTATGTTTGCTTGTTAATTACTGATGACATGTTTCAAGAAGTTTCCTAATGTGTAAAGCACATGCCAGCTTCTTAGGAATCTTCTTATATGATGTTCAAAGTGATTCTTGGGTCAGAAAAAGGGGGGGAAAAAGCCCTTTTTAAAGACCAGGGTAGCTCTCTAAGGCCTTTGGAAGAGATTTTATAAGTCACAATTTAAACTTTAAGCTATCAGGACTGAGCTAGTGAATTTGTGCCTTCTTCCCAGATCATCATATACCTGACCATAAATGCCAAGGTTTTAAATTTGACTGGAATCTAGATAATACGAGATGGACATAAAGTAGGCCAGGAGGGCTAGGGGCTAGAGATGCACTAATTACTTGTAGCAAGGTGTATTACATTGCTGTAGCTCTGATTAAAGACGATATAATAAAGCAGTAATTGAAGCCATATTACTATTTTCATTCAACTGGAATGAAGTCGTTCTTCCTGCCACCAGATGCTTCACTTAAATAACACTTATATTAAAAATGGAGATCTTGTATTGGGAAA